AAAACCAACTATTTCATTTTTATTTAATTTCCAAAATCTTTTTTTTTTTAAATAGAAAATAATACGGATTTTGATTTTCTTAAATTCTTTAGAATTCTAAAGGTATTCTACATACTTGAAACAAATAATTTTAACTTTGGAATTAAATTTATATCTTAGAATTATATTATTCTTAGAAATATAATATCTTCGAAGGGGATTATTAAGTTTTGCTCATTTACTTTTCATAAATAAAGTAAATTTATATAAACGTTACTGTCCAATTTATAAGCTTTAATAATTTGTCTATAAAATACGAATAAGAAAGTTACAGTATTTATAATAATCTAGTTGAGAACATTTAAAATTTTTCTTCATTAGTACGGTACGAAAAGTTCCAGCAATTTGCCATAAGGCACGATGCCATACACCACTAGTTTTGCTTTTAATTTGCCTGGCTTATGCTCTATTTCCTATTTGACTCTCTACATAGAAATTCAATCACATTTTTACATATATCTATATTATACATTCTAATTTTTTATTACAAAACTTTACGCTTAATTATTTATTATATGTATTATGATTACAACTGTTTTTTTCATATTCAGAATTTATATATGATGCTGTAAATTGAACTTTGTATTTCTGCATGAACATCTATTATTTATTCTTATTTTCTGTTTGGGCTCGCCCGGGGTTAGAGCTACGAGGAGCTTTGAATCAAAGATCCTAAGTTCGATAATATGCCGCTTTTGGCAGCCTGAAGGCAAGCAGTAGTGACATAGCTATTTTATTTCGAAATATAGAGAGCAATACGTTTCTGAGTACCCTTTATCCAGCATTGCTGCATCAATAAAAAATAGTCAAAAATTTATAATATAGAGATGGGACAACTATTTGCAAACAGCTATAACTTCAATCAGAACTTAAGTTCTGATCGCTGTTAATAAGAAAGAAAATTTATATTAATTTATTTTTTATTGGGTTTGTATTTAGCCGCTTGCATTTATATTAATTTTCATCCTATTTTATTCAATAGTGTATTATATTATATATAGAAAAACACATTTTACATGTTTTTTTATTTTTACATAATTTTTATATACTTTTTTATTGAATGTTCTAAATCAACTTTTATATGTTCCACATTTAAATTTGATTGCCATAATTTATTTTATCACATGTATGTATAAAGTCGTATAAAGTTTAACACATTTAAAGCATTTTTATCAATTTATATACATAATGAGATCCTGGTGCATCCTTCATACTAATCGAGCAAGATGCCATTAAGGCTGTGCCAAGATGCATTTTTTTTATATTCATTGTCTATTTTTCCCAATTTGTTATCAAATATTTTGCATTTCGAAATCAACATGGTACATACAATTATCGTGTTATGTGCTTATTGTTAGATATTATTTAACAAATTGCGTTGTCGAAACTAATTCTGTTAATTACAATGATAAGTATTCTTTTTGTTTTATTATTACTAACAAAGATAAATGTTTTTCACCAATCTTTATTCAATTTCTTTTAGAAAAGACATTTCCTACTTTTGTTTCTAAAAAAGAATCCAATTCTAAGTAGTGTGATTGCCTTTTTGCTATTAATATTATACATACAACTTCTGAAAATGCGTTTAAAAGTTTTTTTAAATGAGTTTTCTTCTCATTATTTCATTTTTACTATCATTAACTTTTACTATTAATCACTTACTTTCACTATTACTTACAATTATTAATAATGCTATACATTATAATATCAAAGATCTTGGTTAGGGTGTGATACAGTTCCATACTCATCTACTTATGTTAAGTACACAAGCTTACTGAAATATGGCTGCAAAAGAAGTTATTTTGTTTCAAATCACTAGCTGAAAGTAGCGCATTATTTATTACAGTAATATTACTTTTTTATTATGTAGAATAATAAGAGGAGGAGATTCTAGCATTTTTGTTTCAAGCATATATTAAATCTTATGTATAATATTAATAAGTATACACAGAAATTTGAAGACACCAGTAAAAAGGATCCAATATATATTAATGATATTAGTTTGTAAGTTCAGTAACATTTCTATTATCACTAACAAGGATTTTAAATTGTAATCTCCCGGCCAGATATGTAGTCTTTCTTAAAATGAAATAATCTTAAATCATAAAAAATATAATTTCATTTCTATTCGTAACACAAAGAGAGGCTACACGGTTGTTCATCTGTGTATTGTTTTTCAAAAGAATACTTGTAATTGATGTGTGCACGAAAGTGTAAACATTAAATTAGGCATTGTCATTCTGTTGCGAAATATTCCGTTATAAAAATTATGTATTAGACCCTAAGATGAGGCAGAAGTTGTTTGTTTTAGTTGATTTTGTCATTTGTTTGTTTATTATAGGGTAGATCGGGGATTAAAGGTCCGCTGGTGAAAAGGCCCAACACCGACATTTCAAAGCCAAGTGAAGTTAGGATTTTTTTTTCAACAATATTTAAACGTGAAGGGCAAAATATGAATAATCAGCTATCGTCTTGATTTTTGACGTCACTGTTGGAAAATAAACTGCAATGTTCAACAATCTATAACAAAAGTATTTTTTCTTTGATAGTTTTTTTGTTTGTGGGCACTGTTGTTTTGTTTACGAGGTATTAATATAATTTACAAGATGTATTGGTAATTTTAGTATAACCTCTATAAAAGCTTACACGTGGGTGGTGTAAAAAAATTAACTGAATCTTTACCCTGGCAAAGGTGCAAACAATAACAATAGTAAATAAAAAAAAAATTAAGTTAAAAATGCAATTTTACAAGAGTTAATAGTTTTTTGAATTCTGCTGATGAACATGTCTGACGAAATACCAGGTCAAGGTTATATACTGTAAAAAATGTACTCATGGAATTTATATTTTGCACTATTTAAATAATGTAGCTATTAACTCGTAAAACACATTTAAATTAATAATGAGACATTAGACCTGCTTGCTCCGCCTATGGGGTAAAATGGGCCAGGTGACAAATTATTAAAAGACAGCAAAAAAAAACATTTCTTTAATGATGAATTAGCTAAGAGTTTTACTGAACATAGTCAAATAGTTGTTTGTTTTATATGTGTTATTTATTGTGCTATAATTGGTTTAGTTGCTCTAAGTCGAATTGGATCTTTGTGCTTTGCCCTACCCTACCCTTTTAGTGTGATCACTTTAAGCATTCACTTACAGAATTTTTTTAAATTTAGAGCCGATGAAATATTTTTTGAAGTACTTAACTATCATGACTGCAAATCAGTGACCAATTTGTTGTGATATATTCTGGTAATAAAATTCCATTAGCAATAAAGATTATTTTTTGCTCATCAATAAGTCATTAAACTTGTGTAATTGGATTAGACATAATTTATTGCAAATAAAATATATTAAGTAAAAATAAAATCGATAAAAGTAATAAATGTTGACAACTATGATAACTATTTTAGAGTCTCCTCTGAGAGTCTATTTTAATTTATGAATTACTAATCGGTAGAATTATTAATGAATTCGTGAAATGTTCTCGTTTTGGGTGACAGCTGTAGACTCTGATTTCGATGACATTTTTTGATTACGATTATGTATTTTTTATTAATGTTACCGGTTCATGACGCTGCAAGTTGTTCTAGGTTTTCTGATCTCGGATTTACTAGGTTCACAGGGCTATTGCGCAAGATTATTAGGTTAATGTCGTATTTAGTAAATGATATTGTGCATATATGGATGAATCACGTGATAAAATATTATCCGTTTCATCCAACGGCACATTTAAATGTTGGTTGCTGCCAATAACTGGAACCATGTTGAAAGAGCACTCTGTAAATATAAAACAGTAGGTATGCCTTGCTTGATCCACTGACACAAATGTAAATAGTAAAATATTTGAATAGCGCAGGTATAGATAATTTTTAGTTGCAGTTTGTTTAACTGTCAAAAACCAACTGATTACGAGTAAGATATGTGGGAAAAGTTTGTTCCTGATTTGATACTTATACGTACTTAATATTCCTAATTAGAAAATAAATATTTTCTAAGCATGACCCTTCTAAAGACATATAAGCGAATATTATCGATGAATTTAATTTAAATATCCAGTATTAACTTCCCGTAGGGTAAGTTATTGTAATCGTCCAATAATTGAAATTGAAAATTTTGTAATATCTTTACATTTCAAAAGTATTTAAACGTTTTGGCATACCTAAGAAAAAATGGTTGTGTGTGAGTGAGTGTGTATATATATATATATATATATATATATATGTACGTGTGGATACAATTTTCCGTCGACGTTTTCAGGAGTACCGCTCAACCGATGTGAATGAATCAAACAGCAATCGATTCCTATTGATGGGAAAATGTGCTGACTATTTTTGGTAAAGGTTGATCTAGCTGTTTCAGAGATACGAAGCAAAATGTGCAAAAAATGGAAATTAAATTTTTGTAAAAACAAAGCATCCGATACTAACGATTTAAAAAACATTTTGCTTGTGATGAAACTATTAGTATTTGGCGAATTCCAAATTCTTTTTTCCAATTTTTTATTTTTTTTTAAATGTCGAAAATGATTTAAACTTTAACTTCAATTCTAGCTGAAATACTAAAGCTCAGTATTAAAGCTAAGGTCTTTTAATTCTAACTTCGCTTAATTCAAATATGTTTATTTAGTTTTCATGTAAACATATAGAAACGTCGTCGTCCAATTATAAGCTCTTACATTTTTTCTGTAAAATACGAATAATGAAAGTTACAGTATTTATAAATTTAAATTTATTTGAAGACATTTAAAATTCCTAGAATATTTTATTACGGTACGAGAAGTTCCATCAATTTGCCTTAAAGCACTATGCCATGCACCCCACTAGTTTAGTAATGTTTGACTGAGCTTAGTGCCTCGATTTTTAGTACATATATAACTTTGATAATGTGTTTTGACAATATTTTTAATAGCATTTTATTCAATGAATTAATGTGTTATTAATATTTTTTTGTTTAAACAGTGAGCACAAACACACGATGGTGTCAATCGCTCTGCTCGTCATAATAATAATGTGTATGGAAGCGCAGCCTATATATGCATCATCCAGTCACCATAGGAACACGCCATCACCTACAGATAACTCAGAACAGCATCAACGTAAGTTATTTCACTAATATTTTTAACAATAATAATATTCTTTATGTTTGTTTTTTAACACTTTGACTGCCACGGAAATTTTAAAGAGTTTGTCCAAAGATTACAATTTGATTTAATCACATTATATTATTTCAAGAATAACTTATAGGTGGCGTCCTGGAAATGATAGTAACCTACGATGAACCTTGTAGTTGGCAGCCAATGTGTTAAATACATGTTTTCTAACCAATATTTTTTTTTTTTTAAATTTTATTTACACAATTTAGGGAAAATCTTTTTGCCTTTTTGATTCATATGTGTATCCTTTTAAAGCTAGACTTGTCTTCAAATTCAATCTAACACTCTATTTTATTTATATATGCAATTTTTATTTAATAAATACTCTATAATTGTTTTCTACTTTACAATGATCTGTAATTGTTAAGTATACGTTATTCAAATTTTATATAAGATGTATTGTTGATTTTAAGTTTGATTCAACAGTTATTGTTATATGATCTCTGTGAAAGTTTACACGTGGTTAGAGTAAAAAGAACCAATTTAAGAAGAAATTTGCAAGTGTTAAATCAAATAAATAGTTATTCCAAATCTGGTGATGAATATTTCTGACAATATACCAGAGCAAGGTTATATACAGCGTTATCCTTATAAAAAATGTAAATTAGAAATTTATATTTTGCATTAGTTGAATAATGTAGCCATTATTTCGTAAACTCTATAAAATTAAAAATAGGATGTTGTTGACTTGTTTGTCTTCTATTTTCACCGCAGTTTTACTCTTTCTATGGGGTAAAACAGACCACGTTACAAATTTTTGAAAAATAACAAAAAACACATTTCTATAATGATGAATTGGTTGCGAGTTTTACTGAACATAGTCAGATAGTTAATTTTGATATGTGTTATTTATTGTGATATAATTGGTTTGGATTTCACAAAATAATTTCTCAAAGTCAAATTCGAATTTTGTGCTCCGCCTTAGCCTATCTTTTTTTTCCAAAAAAATATTAAATCTTCGTTTTTTTTTTTATTTTTAATAACTATTACTACTAGAAGCAAATGAGTTAAATAAGGGTTTTCCGTTATTTATTTATTGACGAGTTAAATTACCCAATATATCAAGGGCAATTTAACCCGTCAATAAATAACTGATGTAAATTCCATATTTAGTCCATGCTGTACAGGCAGTATTAGTAGAAGATATTAAAGGGCCAATGTAAAGGACAGATTCAATATAATGGAAAACATTTTTTTTACAGACGACATTACTATTGATGCAAAATACAACTACAGATCTTGAGAGCAATATAATCAAGAAGATAAAATATTAAATAAGCCATAATTTATTATTTCGGCTTCGAGCCAATATTAACCCTTACTGTTATATATATAACCCTCTCGAACATTCGTAAAACTCTCGGAATTCGCGAGTGGAAAGGGTTAAACCATATGAATCTTGAATAGTGTAAAATAGTTTATATAATAGTGGCAAAAGTAAAGCTCTCATGTGAAAGATATTAAACGAATTAATGATGAAATACCCAATTACAACTTTTATGGACCAATTTTACATAAATGTTGAATACATTTTAATGACTAATATAACACCGGCACTTCTACTAAATATTGGAAAAGAATTATTATTAATATTTTTAATTAAGATTCTTATTTTACTTATATATTTTTTCCCTATACATGTTACAAGCTAATGATAAGTCGTTTAATAATGAGGCTGTGATTTTGATATTGCATAATAAAAACTAAATCTTCTAATATTTTACTTATTTTCAGGATACAAAATAAGTCCAAAGCCATGCTCAGTAAACGGGCACGAGGGAACCTGCATGTTTGTTTATGAATGTATTCGATCTGAAGGAAAGCATGTAGGTGTTTGTGTGGATACATTTATGTTTGGTAGTTGTTGTTCACATAATCTGACGGATAATGCAATACTGCCTCCTGCCACATCACTCTTACCAGGTGAGATATTAATATTCAACAAGCTTCGATATTCATCACCACTAAAAGCAAATAAAATCTTTTCTTTGGATTCGCTACGGCTGGAGCATTCAGCCACCTACAATACAATATTTTTGTTATACTATTTTGTTCGACGTTCTATAATACATTCATTTTAGATACTTTTACTTGATATGTTAACTTTACCTTTTCATAGCAGTGTCCGAAAAGGCAATTGGAAAAATATTTTGGACCTATATTATCAAGTGCCAGTTATTTGAAACAATCCTTGTATTGCTATCATTAGTAAAATATGTTTATAGTTTTTGGTCGACTTTGAACTTTTTTGCCAATTTGTGGTAACTAAAATCATGCTCAATTTTTCATAATTATCTTTATAAAAATTAGAACTCGTCTTAGGCAGTCAAAAAGTTCGATTTTGTAACTTTTCCTAATTTTGATAAAATTGAAAATGAAAGTTTGATGTTATTAATGTGAGAAGCTATTTTAACCGGTCTTTAGTATTTTGCATTCAGAAATTTTCTCCATGCATAACGTATTGCTTCATGTAAGCATGCTCGTTATATATTATTTTCTGAAATTTGGTGAGTAATTGATATTTTAATATAGGTAATTGTGGAGATTGAATTTCAACATAATCTTTTCAAAATTCCGGAACAATCCGGATCAGAAAACCTTAATCCCAAAACAATATTGCTTTTAGAAAAACCCGAAAAAAGTGGAAATCCGGGACTATCCCAGGCGAGACGGGATGTATGGTCAAGGTGACCATAGCTTTATATAATGATTTAACATTTTCATACTTTTATAGTGATATTATAAGGATTCTTTAGTTTCATCTTCAAAGTGACAAGAACGGGGTTATTATTTAGATAGTTTATTTATTTGTATGTTGGTAATAAAAATTTGAGATTCAATAACTTTAAAAAATATAAATATTTAATGCATTAAATTTATTATTGTAAGAGAATATAACTACTGTATTGATGGTTTTGAACATATTATTTTAGAAAATATTTTACATATTATTTACCAGACACTCTAGCAGTTTTTCGATTTTAATTTTTATATAATGAGATGTTTTTTGAGTCGCATCAATATACGCTGAAAACACAAGTATAATTTTACATCATATCTTTAATGAAAATTGCTAAAATTTGATCAAATTCGTAGTTTTTCATAACATAAACAATATGCAGTATTTCATGAAGTAATCGAGAGCAAGAAAAAAAAAATGTTTGATGTTATGGTTTTACCTTTTTGGAAAGGATTACCTTAGTTAAACAAACTCGGATTTTCTATCCCTTACTATATTACACAAAAAAATCTCTATCAACTATCATCACTTTAAAAAAATATACCATCAAGTAGGAATTTGAAAGTAATATTGTTCGACCACTGTTATATACTGGTGTGGTAAATAACAATGTTAATATCTAATGTTTTTATGAATATAGATATAAATCGTTGTCTTATTTCAGAAGTAAATTATCGACCCTCGGCGGTAATAAAAACTCCTGGCGAAAGACATAAGCCGCCGAATAAAAAACCGCAATATGTTCACAAACCACTAACTACAGTTGCTCCGGCAGTCAGCATAGCAGTACCACCTAACCAGTACAATGTCGTCCTCGACCAACAGGCCGTCCACAGCGAAATTGAACGTAAGTTATGCACACACACACACACACACACACACACACACACACATATATATATATATATATATATATATATATTATATATACAGTGCCGGTCCTGGGGTCGTCAGCGCCCGCAAGCCTTATTATTTTGACTGTTTAAACAGTTCATCATTAAAATTATATAAACATTCACGTTAATTTTTTTAAATTATTTTCAATTATTTTGGATTTAGTAGGTACATAAAAAATTAAATATAATCTAAAAACGCAAAAATACATTAATTCAAAAGATCGAAGGTATTCGCGGGTTATTCATAATCAAACTGTCGTGTCTTCTATCGTTGTCGCTCTACCTAACTATTTTTAAATTCTTATTTCCAATCCTAGAAAATCAAAAAAATTCTGTATATTCATTATTGCTTGCAAAAATATTTTTAAATTTTCGATTATTTCTAACGCATGTGTAATATTAATATTTGGGTTTTGAAACATTTTACTTTTTTATTTTGAGGATTTTATGAGATTTATTCTATTGAGCAAATCATAGAGAGCAAAAAAATTCTAGCCTTTTATTAATAATCATAACACTGGTATATACTTCATATTGGATTATTTTAATTTAATTTTTCGTTATTTAAAATATCCAAAACTGCATCGTAAACTTCTCCTAATTGATGCCTTAATTGCCGAATTGTATGCATTCATCCTCACTTTCCTATCGTATACCAGATTGCTTTAATTTTAAATTTTCAACGCATTTTAAAAATATTGTGCAAAGATTAGTAAAAGTTGCGAAAAAAATTAAATATTTCTTGAATGATATTGAAAAATCTGTATTATAAATTTTATACCCGAATGTCGTCTTGGCGCCCCCTAGGGCGTGCGCTCGCATTTTTTCGCATGGATCGCGTTCAAGGTAAAACAGCCCTGTATATATATATATATATATATATATATATATATATATATATATGTCACCAGTTTAAACCTACAAGGCCAATGTCCTGTTAACAATTATTTTATTAATAATAATTATTTTTATTAAATACATATTTTATCTGATTTTATATTTTATCTTTAAAGTATAAAAAATATTATAATATACAATCCTCTGATATGTCCTACCTTATCCATTTTTATCAACCCATTGATCCTTAATGGTTTTATCGATTGTTGTATCACAAATGAAGAAACTCCTTCGAAGAGGAAGAAGTTGCTGTAATAATAAATGATTTAAAAAATCAAAATATAAAAAAATCCTTTTTCCTATTACATATTATTTTTTTTTAAATATCAGCACATAGTGATTTTTTTATTATTGAGGATGCGAACACGCAACGGTAGTTTATTCATAAATTGTATTGCAAGACCGCAAATACTATTCAAGGAACCGCGCAGTTATTTATGTGTCCGACCTTTAATTAGTTTATACCTCGTATTGTATTCAGTAGTTGATATTGATTACAAATTAAATAGCTGCGAATTATTTTTTTAAAATTAAATATGACTGAAAGGAAAATAATAGGGCTGTTAAAATTTTATAGTTTGCGAATAGACTGCTGCGCGATGATTTATACAGAGGATAAGGAGGAAATTAATCCATCGAGTGTGGTTTTATATTTAGTATATTTTTTATATTAATTGAACAGCATTTGTTCAAACGATGATTAATACTATGATTAAGATAATATTATATTTTATCAAGACTCGTTTTTTGTTGTATGAACATTTTGGTAATATGCATTTTCTTAACTTATCAAATGAGTGGACTAAACACTTTGGCCGAAACCTAAACAGTCAGTTATTCGTTTTCTTATATTTTAAAATTCTATTACACAATATTATATAGTATACTATGTTCAAAATTATTTTCTACAGTCCTACTAAAATTGCATATCATGCAATGTGTCAGTTTTAGTATTGTGATTTAAGTTTAAGTGACAATGTTTTTTTCTAAATTGTTTATTTTTTAATTTTTAGAATCTTGGAGCAATAACCATGTACACTGGAAACTTACTACTGAACCCAATTTCATAACGAGGCCACGCCCTAGTATCCACAAACCAAGCGTTATAAAAGTTAAACCTACGAAGAAATCATCATTTGGAGATACAAGACGTCCATCGTCCAGCACCAGTACTCGAAAGCCGCATTTTACAAGTCTCACGTCAGGTCATTCTGCAGTCTATAACACCACCAGCAGGCCTGAGAAATTGCGACCGCCATCAGGAGATAATCACCTGACTGATAGGTAATGGTCGTACTGAATTTTCTTGATTGGTGAAAGTTTGTGGTGATTAGAGAGCATCAATTATTTATCTATTATTTATTTTTATACACTTCTGCGTTTTCTTAAGTGAGATTTATGTTGAGACTTAATAGGATGCTATTAAACCACTTGGATGTTAATAATAGTAATAGGATATTTGCCATTCAAACTAGGAGGATAGAGTTGTTCATAATGATATAAATAGTCAAAATTAACAAATAACTTACAAGGCAAACCTCAGATTTACTCTTCTGATATTGTGCTGATTGTCTTCTGATATTGTGCCTCGCATGGTGATAGAGTTTATAGTCAAACGGAACACTTTAAAATTTTATAGGCCTATGAGAAGTGGTTTATTTATAAGAATTAATTAAAGTTGCGAAAAATAAACCGCGCGCATAGTGTTCCCTATAAAAATGTCCCGATAGTTTTATCACTTAAAGCGCTTCTTGTTTCTACTTTTTGGATTTGGAGTCATAGATAAAAATGATTGGGTTCAAATTCCGCCAGCTTTTATAATTATTAACTCATTTCATATTTCTTGCAAACAAAAATTGGTATATTTGAAACAAATCTATAAGTACATACGTATATTATTCTTAAAAGCGCATGTGCGCGAGATCTATTTTTTGCATCTTTAATTAATTTTTAAAATGAAACCCCTTCTCATAGGTCTATAATCTTTTACGGTGTTCGGTTTGACTATCATCTTTATCACCATACGAAGTTTCATCAAAATTCGAGAAGAGTAAACTTGAGGTTTTCCTTGTTAGTGTTTCGGAAGATCGAGATCGTTAGGGTGATTCTATATTCAAATTTACCCCCCTTCCCACACCAAACATAACGTGTATTTTTAGTTACGAGCCAAAATTTGATAATTTTTTATATTTTTGAAAATGTTTGGATTTAAAAAAAAACTCAGGTAAAAATAAATATACATGATATCTACCCCTATTATTACTATACCCCTCCCTCCGACACGTGATATTTTGTGATTTTTTGACAAACCCCCCTTTCCTCTAAAAACCTCACGTGATTAATGGACACCCACCCTTATTACAATATTTGCATCATATTTACGAAGTATTTGAACAAGTTCATTAAAACATTCTTTAGACTAAATAAGTAGTTTATGATAATGTTTAAAATAACGATTGCTGAACATTTATGCAATTTGAATTCGATTAACAGTTTTACATGAACGTATAAACCGACTTAGACTCGAGACAAAATATTTAAGAAAATCAAAATATTTGAAATTAGTGAAAAATAAATTAATCTACCGACAAATAATAATTATGCACGATGAATACAAAATCAATTATTATTGGAGTATTTGAAATGAATTTCGTGTTCATTTGTGTAAGTGTCATTCTAAATAATGACATGGGGCTTAAACATCATGCGTGATGTAAAAACGTGATCTGGCAGAAATGTATGCGATGATCTTGCGGAGCCAAAAAGGTTGTTAACCCACAAAATGCATCTGTAACAAGATAAGACATTCTACTGACAGCTTTGTAATACGAAAATAATTATCGTCAGTATAGCAAATATATCACCTTATTAAATTTGGTACATCCACGCCTTCGTATGCATATACAAATATATATATATATATATATATATATATATATATATATATATATATGCATATATCAGACTTTTTGCTTATGTTTAATATATTATGTATATATTTATCATTTTCCTTTATCATATTTTTTATTCTTGTTATATTTCGTTAAATGATCCAATTATCTCTACACATAATTTATTACAGGTATAGTACAAATTACTCGATGCCAAACCTAAATCATACAAGCACTGTGGAACCGGTTAACACGGTAGTGACTCGGTCATCAAAACCTACGATGGAGCCGACATCTAGCAGCAGTTCATTAGAAGACCCGCTATTAGCACCTCACCTATCCACAAGAAATGTTACAGAAATCAAAAATGATATTGTTACTACGACGGCTTCCTCTGTGTCAGCAGTCACGGGGTACAATAATAAAGGTAGCTAAATAAAGCTTAAGGTTACCATATTTTTTGGGTCAAAACTGGGACGGCAAATTGTAGTTTTGTTAATCCGGGACGGCAAACTGGGGTTTAATTAAAAATAATTAATACTATGTTTATGGACACTATAATTGCTTTTTTAAAATGATTTTTTTTTTCAAATGAGAATTACTTGTTTTTTATGTTTATAAAAATTCAATTTAAACCTATACATTTCAAAAACCCGGGACAATCCGGAACAAAATAATCAGAATCCGGAAAAACTCGGGGCAAGATGAAAATCTGGAACTGTCCCGGTCAAACCGAGGACGTATGGTCACTTTATTAATGGTTGTTCTGTATATTACCAAGTTATACTGCAAATTTATTGGCATTCTAGGCGTTTTTCAAAAGCCACGATTCAAGAATATGACATATAAGATTTTTGAAATATTCTCTACTTTTTACAAATAATTAATTGTTTACTGAACAAATGGCACAAAATTTACAACAACCATATAACGGAAAATAATATATTTTATTGACAGCATATTTATTGGCCGCAGAGTCTTCTAGTTGCTATTGTTTTATCAACAAACATTCTTCAATTTAATTTATCTTACGTTGGACAGCCCGATGTCCAGCAGTAGTGAAAATATACCTAGAAATTTAGTTTTCTTTCCCTGAGATTGCTGTATGAATTAGAAAATTCATTTTTATTACAGAAATTATAATAATGTAAAACATAGAATTAGGCCAACCATTGGATTTCTCAATACGACTCTGATCGCTGCTCAAAGAAAAATTTGTTTTATTCTATTTATAAATGATGAGAAATTAACAGAATTTCAAACAAGTCGGATTAAAAAATTATATAGATTCATATTCTTGCGACGATCTCGCAGATTGATTAATAAGTTGCATGTTCGAAACGAAACATTATATGAAAAGAATAATTTGATGGTATTGTAGGTTGCCATGAATAACGCAGTTACTAAAATATCGCACCGGAGAAACAAAAGTTAAATATTATTTAAACTTAATAAAATCTTAAATTTTGTTATTTAAATAACATCACACAATTTCCGTCATGTAATACTTACCTTCTATTTGTGCGTTCTTTTTTAATCTTCTCATAATTTATCAATCATCATCTTTTTTCAACCGTACTCGTGAAGTGCCAATTATACTTTTACTTTTAAATGCATCGCGCAGTTAACAGTTATTTAAATTACAGTTGGCCTAGTTTTTTTTACATACGTTTATACCCGAGGCACCCAGTTTCCTTATTGTTTTTTTTTTGGTTTGTTCATTAATTTGAATTTCAATTATATTTTAATTAATCGCATTTGATCTAAATAAATAAAGACAATGATTTATGAAATTATTATATTTTTTGCATGGTTATAGTTCTTAGTTTTGATTTAATTTTGAAATAAATTGAATCATATCTTTTATGATAATATGTAGATTTACACTTAAGTAAAGATAAATTTATAATTTGCAGTTAGAGCATATTGGAAGTTAGTTTTCAATTAATTTGGAATAGTAGTATTTTCAAAAAAAATATGACTATAAATTTTCTTATAAATTGCTAATGGCTATTGAAATAATTCCACCTTACTGGCTTTTCCATCTATGTATTACGTTTACAGATTAAACACCGTCAATGAAATCCACAATGTGCGTTTCGTTGTTTTTTTAAAGCATGATTACTATATTTTTTTATAAATATATCGAATGGCAATCAGAATAATTATATTATTTAAGATACAGGGGTATAATTTTGATCCCCATTTTATATCAGGGATCAAATATGGCGTGGTAGAAGAGTTCCGGCGTGATACTTCTACTTCCTTATATGAGATCTATAGTTTTTTTTCTTGAGCCTTTTTATATCGCGAAAGCATTATAATTTAAATGAAATTTTATATTATATTTTATTATTTTCAGAGTGCGGAGTTCCAGTTCTCTTTCCAAGACCTGAAACCCGAATCGTCGGAGGAAAGAACGCACCATTCGGACGTTGGCCTTGGCAGGTTGTTCAATGAATAAATTTAATAATGTTAATTTACTTTATTTTATATTGTGGTTACTTAATAACAACAATTTTGAATTTTCAACTATGAATGACATTTGAATTATATCTCTTTATTCCTGCTTTCCAAAAATAAAGCCTGAAATATTTTTATTTTGGGAAATGAAAAAGTAAAATTAGATTAGTATTGCAAACAAAGGTGTAAAGTTTTTTTTACATTTTATGTAGGTGTCAGTTAGACGAACCTCTTTCTTTGGATTTTCAAGTACGCACAGATGTGGGGGTGCCGTATTGAACGAGAACTGGATTGTTACAGCTGGGCATTGTGTCGATGAGTAAGTCAATTAAACATATGTATATATTTTCACATATTGACTGCCGTGGCTATTTTAACCCTTAACCATACTCGCGACATTGTAAATATTCTAAAAAAATCGAATGCCGCCATACACACATGACGTACCACGAAGAATTTTGGACTTTTGTTTCTGTAATTTACAGTATGAGCATAATGCAGTTCGAAAATAAATTTTAATATTGGTCAACTAGCAATATTTGACGAATTACATTCTAGTCAAGTCCAACAAATCGATATTAATTATGCAACTTTTCTCGTTTTGGAAATCCGTCGACCTACTGGGCATAGTTTTAGGTAATCGTTCGTTAAAGTTTAACAAATCATGCTACAAGTAAAAACTCGATTTAATTGCATTACAGTAATAAAAACTGTAATTTGAATACATAGTTTTCATCAAAATAAAAAAAAGGTTTATAATCTATGAAATATTATTTTATTGGTACGAGATAACTCAGGCGTCCTAGAGAAGATCGCAATCTATGGGTATTCAATCAAATTTTCAAATTTTGTTTACTTACGAGTACTAATCAAAACGTAGACTTCCCATAAACATATATAACATATATGGATTTGCGTAGGTGCACAGAATCTATAGTACTGAAGTATACATTATCTACATATATATAAAAATGAGTCGGGTTTTCCTTCCTGACGATATAACTCCAGAACGCACGAACCGATTTCGACAATTTTGCATTCGTTGAAAAGGTTTATAGCTAAGAAAATTAGTCGTGCATGGCATCGTGCCTTAATGCAAATTGCTGGTACTTCACGCATCGTATATAATAATTCGAGTAATGACATTAGTGAGAATTATCAGAATTATGCTTGCAATTAAGTCAATGAGCAATTCTTGCCGCAAAAAATAATGATGTACACGCACTGAATTTTACCATTCAATCAAAAAATGCTAGCGATTTGGTGACATTCCAATGATTCCGACTGGTCTTCCGTTTGACTTCAAACGATTGCAATTCCCAGTTTGCCTTGCGTTCACAATGACAATTAATAAGTCGCAAGGCCAATCGCTTAGTGTTTGCGGGATAAATTTCAAATAGATTATTTAGAAAATCATTGTTTTTTACATGGGCAGTTATACGTTGCCTGTTCATGAGTTGGGAAACCATCCGCTTTGTTTGTGATAACGTCAGACCAAAAAACAAAAAATGTGGTTTACCAAAGAGCACTCAATGGAAACGGATAATTTGCGGATTCACTTTCATTTACTTAGAGAACTTCAACTAAAAAACGTTTTATTTTTGTAATCAAAATAAATTCATTACTGTTGTGTAATAAAATCAATTTTTTTGTTTCTAAATATAAAACAAATAAAAAATTTTTTCATCTTTCTCACGAAACCATTTGGCATTTGGTGGCGAAATGGAGTTCGTCGGGTTTGCTAGTTATTTATAAATATATTAGGTCATCCATTCATATCGCTTCAACTCATTTATGTATTATTCCTTTTAGCTAAGATATTGAATTCACTATACATCATCTTTTTATGATTTCAGTCTCCTCACTTCACAAATCCGTATTCGTGTCGGTGAGTACGATTTTTCTAGTATGCAAGAAGAGTTTCCTTTCCTGGAGCGGGCCGTATCCCAAAAGCTGGTGCATCCCCAATACAACTTCTTCACGTACGAATACGATTTGGCGTTGGTGAGACTGGAGCAGCCTCTTACGTTTGCTCCACACATAAGCCCAATCTGTCTGCCGGGTTCGGACGATTTGCTTATTGGAGAAAATGCTACAGTTACCGGTTGGGGCCGTCTCAGCGAAGGTGGTACACTGCCCAGTATTTTGCAAGAGGTAAAGGCTTGATTGATTTTATACACAGTATGCATCTAATAGAGAACTATTTATCTGCTATTGATGTGAGTTAACTTTTTTCTTGAATTATCAAAGCGCTATATATCGCTTAAGTTGAAAAAATCTAGTTCGTGAAGAACCTGCATCATATTCTACTGGTATTTTTACAGCGATTAAAAAATATAACTATAAAATATAAATATGTATATTTATTATAAAATGTTTAAGATCAACAAATGCTTTTCAATATACATAATTTTAATGTTTCTTTCGTCTGCATAGGTGTCAGTTCCTATCGTTAGCAACGATAAATGTAAATCTATGTTCCTGAGAGCCGGCAGACATGAATACATACCGGATATTTTTTTGTGTGCCGGTCATGAAGGTGGCGGCCAGGATTCCTGTCAAGTAAGTTAAAATCCATAATGTGCAACAATCGAATATATTTTTTAATCTCGCATTATAAAAAAATGAAAATTGATTTATCTAAAATATTCAAAAATAAGTGTTCAAAAATATTTTGACCGTTATAGTGGGTGATATTAATATTTCTAATTAGTCGGGCGTTATATCAATAAAAATAGTATGAGAGTTTTTAGAAATTTATTTAAAATCCATACGTTTCGGCTAGCATCTTAGCCTTCATTCAGTGACAATCAATTTAACTATAAAAATTAAAACTAGATAAATAATGTGTAAGAAATTTCATAAAAAACAATAAAAATGATAATAATAATAAAATACACTTGTATCCTAATATAACATATTTTTTTTTTTTTTTTTTTTTTTGTTACAATTTATTTTTGTTAATCAAGACTTTAATGTCTTATTTACAAAATTGATATGAGCAAAAAAAAAATACAAAAAAACAAAAAATGCAATACATTGAATATAAAATGAAAAAAGTTGAAATAAAAATTAAATTAAAACAGTAATACAAAAATAATAACATAAATGAACGATGACGTGATGATGTATGCCGCGTACTACGTCAGGACGCGTGCAGACATTGGGCTAGGAGTTTGGTAGATCGGAAGGCCATTTCTTGCTCAATCTTCTTATCGGTCTCTGAATCGCTTGGATTGTAGGATTTGTATGCTGGATTAATTTGTTGTTAAAAGATGAACTTCTAATCTTGATCATTTCGTTGACTGTTGAGATTTTCAAATCCTTATGTAAGCAAAAATTCGAAATATACCAAGGCGCATTAGTAAGGATACGCAGAATTTTATTCTGGCACCTTTGAATGATGTTTATGTTAGATTTGCAAGAGCAACCCCATAGTTCGATTCCATAAGTCCAAATGGGCACTATGATAGTTTTATACAAAAGTACCTTGTTATCAAGAGAGATTTCAGATTTCCTCCCAAAAAGCCAGTAAAAATCTTTTATTTTCAGTTGGATTTGTTTCTTTTTATATTCAATGTGCGTTCTCCATGTCAATTTCGAATCAATGTGCATGCCTAAATATTTAACAGAATTGCATAGTGGAATTATTGAATTGTTCATGATGATAGGTGGACTGTTGTGATGTTTTAGAGAAACAATTATGTGCTGAGATTTTTCGATATTGATTTTGATATTCCAATCTAAAAACCATTTTTCGAGACTAGATAAATAATTTTGTAACTGACAAGTTGCTGTTCTAATATCGGAATTGCATGAAATAATTGCTATGTCATCGGCGTAAGTGCATATGGTTAGAAGATCATCTGTGGGCATATCGTTTGTGAAAAGAAGATAAAGTACAGGGCTTAGCACACTGCCCTGTGGTACCCCGCATTCTATATTTCTGATGCTCGAAGTCACATCTTTAATTTTGATTCTAAATTTTCTATTAAGCAAATATGAGCTTAAGATATTGAAGTAGTTTGGAAAAGTTGTTTTGATTTTATATAGGAGTCCTGAGTGCCAAACCTTATCGAAAGCCTGACTGACATCTAAGAATACGGCTACACTGTATTCCTTTCTATTCATGGCTTCAAGAATACGAGACACCGTTCTGTTGCATTGTTGAATTGTAGAGTGATTTTTTCTGAAGCCAAACTGATGGTGAGGAAGCCAACTATCATTCGGATGATCTTCTGACAATCTCTGCAACAAAAGTCTCTCTAAAATTTTCGATAATATCGATAAAAGACTGATAGGACGGTATGAACTAGCAGTGTGATGGTTTTTGTTTGGTTTAGCGATCATAATAATTTCTGCAGTCTTCCACGCTGTGGGCCAATAATTGTATTGAAGTATGGCGTTGAAAATATTTGTTATATATAAGATACCTTTTGTAGGCAATTCTTTTAACATCTTTGGAGTAATTTTATCCATACCTGGCGAAGATCTATTTTTTATCCTTTTTATTTCACATAAGACATCATTTGGTGAAAAATGTCCTAACGGTGTAGAATGTATGGGTTGATTTACGAAATTAATTAAATTATTCTGGGAAATATTTCGAGCGCTAAAAATGCTACTTAGATGATCAGCAAATGCCTCCGCTTTTTCTTCGTTGCTTTTTGCCCAAATGAATCCGTTTTGGTTGGTTATTTTCAGAGGAGGGTTTTGTTGTAGGGGTTTACTTTTGTTTCTGATTGGTTTCCATATGGAATTATCGTACCTATTTAACTGCAATATATACGACCTGAATGTACAATTCTTCCATTCTTTCATTTTTTTCCTCAGCGTGTTATTGAGATGATTAAGCGATGTCTTATCCGTTGGTAGATGAGAATGTTGCCAGGTTCGTCTTGCTCTTCGTTTCTGTGCAATTAGCTTCTTAATCTCTTGCGGAATTATTAGATTATCATTTCTTGGATTAATGTTCGGGGTGATCTGCTTGGTTGTTTCACGTACTATCTCAGAAAAATAATCTATATTATTTTCTATATCAATAACGCTTGTAGGCCTAGATTTTGGAAATACTTTTGAATCAAGTATGGATTTGAATTGAATCCAGTTAGAAAGATTGTTGTGTAGAATATGATTGTTGATAACTGGAGTAGGAAATGTGCTAAACGTCACAAGAATTGGAGAATGATCTGAAGAGATATCGTAACTAGATTCAATATTGAGATTTGAAAGATCAATACCTTTCACAATAAAAAAATCTAAAAGGTCTGGAACTTTAGTAGGGTCAGAAGGCCAATAAGTTGGACTGCAAGTTGAAATGAAAACATCATTAATCCATGGTATGAGCATGTGCAAATTGATAAAATATATATTTTTTAACATCACAGAAGGTACAACAGACAAATAAACATGATAACTTAACAAGTTGTCGAAACTATGTATTTACTTGTCGGAGTTTAAGATAGAAATGTCACATTTTTCTTCAAGCAGTTTTTAGCATGTGTTCAAATTTCACAGAAAATTTAAAAAATGGATCTTGTCATTTTTTAACACGCTATTTAGGAACCACCTGTTTGTTTCGTTCAGGGCCGTATTGTCGAAGCGTTTGTTTATGACCCTTCTTTCAATCACGTTCTCTTCAAAATCTATATTATGGTTTAAATTAATAATATGCTCGGTTAACATCGTCTTAAATTGTTTGGGATTTTTTGAATTATTTTTATATTGATTAATAAGTAAATAAATTTCTAAAAACTTTCATGCTATTTTTATTGATGTAACGCCCGACTTTTTAACTAAAATTAAATATATTATATCAATATCAAATTCAAGACTATTCAATATATATATATATATATATATATATATATATATAATATTGGTATGTTTGTGATTTTACATTATCGTGTATCCATTATTTACAGGGTGATTCTGGTGGCCCTCTGCAGGTGCGAGGAAAAGACGGTCACTATTTCTTGGCCGGAATTATTTCGTGGGGCATAGGATGTGCTGAAGCGAATTTGCCTGGTGTTTGTACGAGAATTTCTAAGTTTGTATCGTGGATTGTTGAACATGTGACTTTACCTACTTGATGTTTGATTTTAAATTATTGCAGTGCATTTTAATCTTAATCATTTCATAAATGTCTTTGGATATAAATATGAGAGTGAGTATATATGAATAGATTTTGGATTTATATTTGGTGATGAAACCTGTACTAGTGATATAGAATAGTGCTGAGAATATGAAATTTCTGGAGCATCTATTAATATATATTATATACATTTTTTCGGCGCTTACCGAAGTTGTGTTAATATTCTTCTATTTTAATTTTATTGTCGATAAAAGTGATGTTTCTCACGGATTTTTTATTGTGAAATCAATTTCACATAGTTGAGGTTAAACATTTATTTGTTTAAGTTACTTAGAGATTTGTATACTTATTGAATTTTACGTGGTTTATTGATTTAGGTTGTATAGACCAAATTACTTTCTACGTTTAACTTCATCTTTGGAGAGTTTTTAGTAGGTTGTTCGTCTCGATTCTATATGAATAATTTTTTCAGCATTTTTTCGGTCAATTTGGATCGTTGAACGATCCCAAAACAATTATTTGTTTGTGAAGCATTAGCCTTCCATAATCTTGCTTTCATAAAATATATCAATACATGACTTAATTCTAAGATCTGATAGAAATATTATTATTTTTAAGACACATTTAATAGATATTGATAATGATAAATCGGAATGAATTTTAAATTATAAATTCATTATAAAAACTCAAAGCATTATTTTATAAGTTATTATTTTATCCAGATTTTCTCGGGTTTCAATTTGCGTTGCCTATTATGAGATGATAAGAAATTTGACGGTGATATGGGCTTTCTGTATGCTATAGATATATATTTTTATTCTGAAAGCACATGTACTTGATCTGAAAACTAAAACTGTGCATTCAAAATATTTAAAATTGCCTTCGACGTATATAAATAAATGTGAAAACATTCTACTTGTTAGGTTGGACAAAAATCGTAATTTTTGTAATATGCTATTCATATAAATATATAAGACAAATCTAGATACTTTATTATTGTATAGGTAACCGTAATTTTCGTGTATATTGTAAAATGTTATATTCGTAGTCTACTTCCATAGTCTAAGTATAAAAGTCAGGTAATTTATAAAATATGCTTTACGTATTAATAGAGTTAAACATTGTACTATGTATATATATATGTGTATACTTATACATAAATATGTATAGTACAATGATAGTACGATATAGTGATAAAATCACACCCTTTTGTTATATGTTTGTGCTTTATATTATTGTTCATATAATTATGTATTCTATTATATACATTTTATTTTTTTAAATTTTTTGATGTTAGAAATTTATTGTATATATTGTATAGTTTTAGTATATCCGATTGTAACTTGGTATGACTACCCCGTCATGTTTAGAACTAAGATATATATATATAAAATATAAATACTAAATAGATCAAATTTTACAATGCCTTTGTTTAATACTCATTTTCCGGGCGTAGCTCTGGAAAAGGTTTACAAAGGCGACAATTGTCAAAGGATTTAGTTTTATTATAGTTTGCAAAAAGTTTTTATATTATCTTGGTATATTTTTGCAATTTATAAGTTTTGCAAACTCTTGGGATTTATATAAATTAAAAATCGATGACTAAATTTACGAATTGTGAACGTCGACGAATACGGACAAATGCCTTTTAAGTAAATGTTTTTGATGTATGGACTTTTACCAACCATACTAATATCGTTGTTGTAAAAAATATATCTCACCATGATTTATTTCTAAACGGTCATTCCGTATTTGCGGTAAAAATATAATTGAAATCGTTTGTGTTCCTATCTTTTGTTTATTCTTTTTTAATGGGCTAGTGGTTATTATAAAACACATACTCGATGCTCACTTATTAGTAGGATATATTTTTTAGTTTTTTATATTCCATTTTTTTATTTCTTACTATATTTATTTATAACATTTGTAGGAATCCTGCTTTAAGCTTGAATTAAAATTGACTATAGAATTATTTTAAGAAAGTGTCACAAAAGTCTATTATATTTTATGGTATGTTTATATGTAAAATGATTTAATTAAATATTTAATGGTATTAATATGTTATTTTTGATAGTTTATAATAATGTTTCATTTTTGAAATTTCGTCGTTTCAAAAGAAAATCGAACGCCTTATAAATTTATATTTATTCTATTATGATAGATACAAGTGTACACCACAAAAATAATTAATCACACAGATTCGAAATTGGCCCAAAAAATCAAATTCAACACACAATATGAATTATATGATTTTTATTCCATTATCCTGTTGTTTTTAGAAAATAGAAATTCGCATTTTTGTGTCAAAAATATATGTACCTTATAATAATTTTTGTATTCTATTTTTAATTTGATTATTTGGGCCGATTTGTTAGAACGCACCAAGATCCTAAAGTAGATCGATAAAATTACTCATTAAATTACAAACATATGAGTGAGATGCTTACATATTTCATTTTGATTCTAAAGGAATGGGTTTTGTAAATGGACTTGAAATTTCCGCCGCAATGTCTTGATAACCATATTTGTTATAGTTTTTTTTATATGAATATAGTTTTATACATTTTTGCAGGTGTACATTTTCCATTGCTTTCGCAATGCAATGAATATAATAAATATGATTGTGATATGCATTGTTTTTATTTTTTCGCCATGAATTACTATCCACTTCGACATACGTTAATCGAATTCGTTACGAAATTAGTTCAATTTTAGATTTCCTGCACAATACCACTGCTTTATAGAATTTAATTTTATTTTGAAACTTTTACCATTTAAAACCGAGAAAAAACTCTATTTATTTGAAAAGAAATTTGCAGATTAATGCACCGATTCTGTCGTAAAATAGACCAAAGTTATAGCAAGGTTAAATGGCAGTTTTCATACAAAATCGTACTAAATACTGTCAAAATGCCATGAACTTGCTGTGCGATTAGGCGTTTAATACATAAAATGCAGCTTCACTAATATGTTATTAAACCGTATCACAAAGATCCAGTTATGATAACATGTTTTTTTGACATTTGTGCGTTTTCTAGGTTGGCTTGTTTATCTAAAACGCCTGACTGCAGAGCAACCACATGGCTTTTGACAGTATTTAGTACGATTTTGTATGAAAACTACAACATAGAATAGCCTTGTCATAACAATGGTCTATTTTACGGTAGAATCGGTCTTTAAATAATAATTTTATATATATCATTCCCAAAGCCTTTTATTTAAAAACTACATATTTTCGGATACTAGGGATCAAAATAAGATACTTTGCTGAAGAAATCATACCTCTAAAATGAATTCTGATGTCCCATGCATTTTGTCAAATTTTGAAAAATTTTGTTTGTCTCATTTAGAGTGCCCCAATTTACTAATTTTGTAAGCCCAATCCATCCATGCCTGTAGTTCTTCCCCTGGAACCTTCCCAGAGACGTTATCCATACAAAAATGACAACAAATCATCGTTTCTGGTATTTTACTTTGCAAAAAATGTTTTTTTAAAACCTTTTTTTGGATATTAAATCACACGCGCACAAAAAGCTTTTTCACAAAAAAAAATTATTCAAATTTTGTGTTTCATTTGTATTCAATGTATTAGAGGCCGTTATAGCGACGATATTAGAGAGCCGTGCGAAACTTTCCAGACTTGAAACCAAAAAAGACTTCAAGCAATAATTTATAAGTTTTACATAGTTTTAATAAAAATATATCGCTGATTTTTGTCATGTAAAGTACCAAAAGTGATGCAATTTTTGTATGACTCAAGGGTGGTCTCTAGTATCCGAAAATCATATGTTTCTATGCGACTTTTTGGGCCAATACAAATCGACTCGCTTTAATATATATTAACATAAGCGTTTATATATTTTTACATGCATCGATTTGTGTTCAAGTACATGCACGTAGGTTGGCATTTTCAACGAAATGCACTTTCTCTGATAAAAAATATTATAAATGCTTCGTGTTGCATAAATGATATAATAGTAACAGTTTATTACGAACTGACAGCGGTTATACACTAATCTGCATCCAGCAGTATTTTTTGCAATATGAATTTTTATTGTTGCGTATATTTTTGGTGTATAATATTTATATTGCTTTACGGTATGTAATTTTATAAATTATAATCTTTTTGTTAGGTGTTTTTTTAAAAAAAATCGAATGCGTATATATATATGTATATATATATATATATATATATATATATATATATATTTATATTTAACAAAAAAATTAAAGGAATCTAGCCAATTTTTTTTTTTAATTAAAATATCCCTGATGAAATTGAATTACTAATAAAAATTTGAGATATTCCACAGGTCATAACTTTTCTGCAGAAAATCAACGAAATGACAAGAGTTTAAGCCACACCACAAATTTTCGAGGATTTGGATTTGGACAACTTGCTTTGCAGAGTCTCAATCCCTTAAACATTATTGATAATTTAGCGAGAAGATACGTTCGCAATAATAGGCGCAACCCATATCGCACCACAAAACAGAACTACCTGCAGCCTGATTTCGATACCAACTTTGATAGTTATGCATCATTCCATTTATATGCAAAATCTCATTCAAATGTTTTTGCTTTATCTAATGAGCAGAAATTATTCAATATACACTTTAATCTTTTCTCTCGGCTTCCAATTAATCAGCCAAATTTCGTACCGCCGCAGCCGAACTATAATTTTGGCCACCATCCGTGGTATCCTCCACCAGCTGAAGTTCCTCCTATACATATTAATTTGCCTCAAAAATGGAATCATGAGCCACCTTATCAAACTCTTTCTGCACCTGTAAATCAACAGCAAATTGTAAACATACATGAGCCGTTCAAGTCAAAAATGCCACCGAGGGAGAATTATCAGGTGAGCTAATATGCAGTCACAATCATGGGCGTAGCCAGGATGTTGACTTGACAAAACGAAACTGAAACTTGCATGTTACAATTTTGTCGATAAAATCAATTTATTCAATAAAAATTTGTTGATCGATGCCATAATTATTGCATTATTTTATGAATAGATCTCTGCAGTATTCTAGTGACAATAACCTTGAAAAAAATTTATTAGCAATTTTTTTTATATATATATTGTGATTAAATATTTTATACAATAGACTTTATTGAAATCATCAGTATTTTTGAAAATTAATATTTTTTTGCATATTACAAGAATCTAAATGCAGACAGTTGTACTATATATTAACAATTTTAAAAATTGTCATAGTTTATTATTATTTTATAATTTATTATAAGCATTTATATGGTTTTTAGAGTAAATTCAATGCAGTTTTATTAATATTTTTGAAAAGATACCAAAAACTAGTTTAAAGATTAAAATGTCAAATCTACTACGCTCATGGAGTATTTACTTCTCCTGCATTATAATATTTCAATAAAACTATGATAGAACATAATAATTTATTTTTTGTGTCTATTTTTTAGGATATTCGAGAAATTAATCGGCAACAAATTGTAAACCGTGTGACTGAGAAGAAAACGAGGCCAAGATTAAATATGAAGAATTTTTCATTTAATAATTTGACACACGAAGTTGATGATCATGTGGTGCTGCCAGAAACTATCCTAGAAGATCTGCAAGATTCTGAATTATTTCATATTTTAGCAAATAAGATATCGGTGCATCCCATTGATAAAGAGGTAAGTATAATATAATAATAAGGTAGATGCATATGTATTTCTTGCAGTTATAACTAAATAGTAAAAATGTAAGTACAAATATTTTTGACTTTAATATTTTTGAATGAAAAAGATGTAAAACCAATCTACAAAAACACGTAATTTTTTGGAGTAATTGAAATTGGATTAGAATTTAAAAATATTCTTGAAGTAATATGACTATACGTTATCTTAACGCTTCATTATTTTTTTTATTTGTAAAAGCTTTATTATTTTTTATTTCTTGTTGTATATAGTACTAAAGCAAATGCCAAGTAATATCACTGAAGATAGAGGCATAAATTTTGTGAAATTGGTTTAATATGACCAAATATCATAATTCAATTAATATTTATTAATTAATAATTAATATTAATATATAGTTGTGGCATCCAAAATGAACCCTTTCGCTACGAGAGTATTTTCCACAGGAGCAGCACTGCTGTACGAGTATTTGATACACAAAATATTTTCAGATTTTCCAATCATTATTGATAAAAATGTATTTAAAGAATAAAAAGTGCACTTCTAAAACCACAATTAACAAATAACAAATTAGATTTCTCAACAATTTAAATCAGGGTTATTAATATTAAAGCAAAAGTGAGCATAATCTCATAATTTAATCTCATTTAAATTGAAAATAATCATTTTTATTATTTTGTCATTTTGTAATTTTGTCAACGCTTGATGAGTGATAAAATTATTCGAGGATGAGTTAGAAAATGCACTTAAATTTTTAAATTATTTTTTTTTTAAATAGCAATTTTAATAGGATTTTCTGCGCGTGTTGTTTTTGCGTACTAATAAAAAAGTATTAATAAAAAATATTTCCTGAAAGGAAATTGTATAATAGTTTACATAAAAATCATAGAGATTAATTTAAAATCTAAAAATTAGCGATCATAAAAATTAGTCTAATCTTATATTTTCTGTTGCTTCTGTACATTCATAAAAGTTTTAGCTCCACCCATGACAATCAGAATATGTTTGATGATACTTTATGTCGTGCTACATCAGTGTGACACAAACTCCCACAGGGCGAGTTTCGTCGTATTGTTCAATATGGACAATGCGGCTGTGGATATTCGTTCCGAATTTATTGGTTCATATGTAACAAAAACATTACGATTAAAACCCGAGAAATGGTTGCGAGTAGTCGCAGCCGAGGAGTACAAAGCAATTTTGTTAGATTTTCTAGACAATGACACACCGACAATATTAATTATCACACTGACTTCCTCCTTACAATTGATACCTGTCACAAGATTTCCAGTGTCGCTGAAAAACAAAGGCGTATATTTTGTGAAGAAAAGCATCGCAGCCGTTCCTAAAGATGTTCCAGAAGAAACGCTGATTATAGGCGACATTGCAACCAAGGCAATCGATTATCTTGCATCATTAGTAGATGAAATATTTGTTCCGTTGTTGTGCAATGTTAATAATCATGAGGAATGGCCCGCAGTCGTTGCGCAGGATGTCAACAAACACGTGCATAGTCTTAAGAGCACCTTGTACCAGGTACGAAGGAGATATTAAGATTATTGATCCGTGTAAGATACTCATAATTACTATATGATATGATATGAATAAAAACCAAAGACGTTTTAATATCTATCTATCCAGATAATATAAAGTAAAACTAAATTAAATTTCCCAATTTTTTTTGTATACTTCCATACGTTACATGTCCTAGTTTTACTTTTCTTCATTGGAAAAATCACTTTTTTGAAAAACAAATATAAAAAACTATTGCAAAACTATTGTTAGTTATAGATTTTTTAATTGAATTAACTTAACTGTTCAATTTTCTAGCGAATGTGTAGTTTTTATGTTTGTTTTCTACCACTAAAATGGTGAAACCTGAATCGTGGGACTTCTTTTTACACTGTATTTTTCTTTCAATTAATATTTTCTTCATTTATTTCAATACAATAATATTGTAACATTTTTTTTTATTTTACTGGTAGAAATACAAGTAAATTTATTAAGAAGATATATTTTGAAGAAAATTTGGGCACGATATAGAATTGAATTTTTTCTTAAGGGGCACAACTAGTGTAACCGCCTAAAAAAAGGTGATTTTTGGAAAATTATATTAAAAAAACTACTTAATCAATTATTTCAAAATTTTACGAATATATTTATACATGTTTTAAGAATACATAGTAAAATTTTTGAAGAAAAAAAAAAATATTTTTTAAGTTATCGTCGATCTCCAGCCTTCTACGTGGATAAAATTTAAAAAAAAAACTTGTTAAACTAGATAATATTGTCTGTAAAATGAACTACGATAAAGAAAATAAATCAAAAATTGACAAAATGACGGCGTTTTTTTAAAAAAAGTCGAATTTTACCCAAAATTTTGGTCATTTTTGGACTGCCAAAATTCGATTTTTGATCCGATAAAAGAATCGATATTTTATTTTACGGAGTTCTATATATAGAACATGTAAAAAAAAATTGATAATGATCGGATTATTTGTTTTTGAGTAATCGCTGCAGCAAATTCAGAAAATGCTGTTTCGAGAAAAACGCGTTTAAAGATTAAATGAATTTAAATAGCTGTAACTATTTAGGATATCGATTTAAAATTTTGGTAAGTTATTTTTAAAGGTATAACCTATCAAAATATGGTAAAATTGAAAATTCGATTTTTTGAAAATTTCACACTAGTTGTGCCCTTTAATTCAGAAAAATGATTAATAAAATATATAAAAAACTGTAAGATCTACTTAGCGTTTAATCGCAAAAACGCAACTAAAAAGAGGATGAATAATTTAGGAATTTATAATAATGATTTACATTTTTTTTATATGTAAAACACTTGCAAAATTCTAAAATTACGAAATTATGTTATTAGTAATTTCAAGCGTCTATGAATTCTAAGTATATCTGTATATCGGTTTCAGAATCTTTAAACGTTGTTAAAGGAGCAATAATAACAAATTTTCTTATAATTTTTGACTTAGATAACTTTATGCTGTTTGCACCAAAAAGTCACCTTAAGTTAATGAAATTTATTTTTCTAATCTAGAATATTAGCACGTTAATCACCATGTCAAAAATATGTGTTGACGTGAAGAAGTTTCACATGAGCCATGTCAGACATATATGGAAGATCATGTCAATAACAGATGTCCGACGCAAACAATATATTTGCAATATGTTTCAAAAGCCTGGTCTATTAGGACCAAAACCTAAAAAGTCTTGGCTCAACCTCAGACATACTGGACTGAAAATGTTTTAATATAGGGCCATGTCAGTCCTTTATGTGTTACATAAAAAAGTGTTTTTCCTGGAATTTAATAATTTTTTTTTTTGATGCATTAAGTTTTCTTGCTATATTTTTAACTAGATTATCAGATAGTTAATATGGCCCATGTAAAAAAAACTGAAATTATTGTGGCGATTAACGTTTTAGAGAAAAAAACAATTTATATTCGCATATTTGTTTAATATGAATTTATATATGTATATATATATATATATATATATATATATATATATATATATTAACTACTTTTTTATATCTAGGTAAAAGGGCGTGTAAATGGACAGACCGTTTTACCAATGCCCGTGGGGGTGGAACGTGTTCAAGAAACAGAAAATATTTTGCGACATACCCCAAATGCTGAAGTGGATTTATATTTGAAAAGTGCGATCGAAGGAGTTATTATAAAATGGGCAACACAAGTAAATGACGTCATGTCGGAAGATTCTGCCCAGTCTTTCAGTAACGGGCAAGATCCTACACCAACCTGCGGTTAGCAATTTGAATGAATTTTCAATTATATAATAAATTTCTTATTATAGATATTATTTAGTATTTACTAATATTATGTTTACAAACATTTTCAGAGATTCAATTTTGGGAAAAACGTTTGCGAAACTTGAGCTACATATATGAACAATTGCGCACAGAAAGGGTGCGCTGTATGGCGGTGATTCTTGAAAAGACTGACAGTGCATATTTTCCATGTTTTAAAACTCTTTTCAAAAATGTTGTTTCAGGTAAGTTGTTGTAGACATTTGTCTCATTCTAGGAATAATTTACTTCTCACGAAAATAATTCATAAAACGATTTCGTCATATATTAGGTTGTCAAATATCTCCCTTCCGCTTTTTTGTATTATAAACCAATAGCAAAAAAGCGAAAGGGAGATATTTGACAACCTAATATAAAATCAAGGCAACTCATCTCATTCCATGCAATATATCATACCAAAGATATTCAATTTCTTACATAAGCGCAGTGAACAATATTGAGTTATGAGGAATTGAGAGCAATATCGATTACAATTTGTTTTTTATAGAAATTTGTGCTCGATTTCAATAATTGAAAGTTATATTGAATAGGTCTTTACAAACATCTTTGATATATAAAAAAAGGATTTTGGAATGACTTCAAATCATGAAATGACTTCTATTATTAAACACACCGCACATAAAATATTTTTTGTAAGTATCAGCAAACCAACTGAAGAGTTCCATAAACTCGGTCGGATTCAGTTATACGAAATTTTAAGTAGGTTTCAGAATGCATACTGTTGTTCTTCTGGATAATGCAAAAAATAAAATTTAGATTTAGAAATCTAACCTTGTAGTTATTTCCAGTCACACTTATATTTTTGAAAAAATTAAATAAATGACGCTTTTTTAAAGGCTATTCTCTATTATGAGATAGATTCTCCTCAAGTTTGCCAACATTTTTAGGGCGTGTATAAAATTTATTTTTTATATTATAATATTTGGCTTTTTTATATCTTCTTTCGACAATTGTAAGAGTTTTTTTTATTCTCTATTTTATTTATAATTGTCCAGAAAAGGACATTTAATAAATTTGTGGAATTTACAATTCTCGTAAAAAGACATTGTATACTAAAGGAGCATGTTGGAAAAACAACTCAATAGTTGTTTTCCCATTCGATATAATATTCACACTATTTTATTAATAATTATATAATCTTAACTATTTACTTATAAAATAATTTCTTATAAATAATGACTAAGCTATTTCAATTTTTTATCAGGAGAGTTGATGACTTAAATCTACTGATGCTTTTCTTTTCAACCTTCTTGGATAGTTCACTGTTATCAAGGAGTTTGCTACTGTATTTGAGTGAATTCTAACCAATTAAATTATTTCAGCTCTTGACGAAGCAAAGGACATAACACTGTATTTGCAGCCGTTAATGAGACATTTTGTACAAATGGAAGAGACCGATTTTGGGGATGTTGGTCCTTTATTGAAGCCTCTTATGCATGTCGTTTGCCTGGCTTGTGCAAATTCTCGATACTACTGTCAGCCGTCGAAGTTCGTCGTTTTGTTGAAACAAATTTGTAATTTGTTAATTCAACAGGTATGCATAAAAAAGTTATTATGCAATTTTATAGCGTTTGAAAAAAGTTTCAAACGCCAAATTCGTTTCTATAAACGTACATGTTTCGTTCTCGCACATTGGAGCTCTCAAATACAAACATTTTTGACCTCAATGTAAGTAAAATGTATTTGCAAAACCGTGCCGTGGTTTTTATTTTTTTATTCAAATTTTTACAATAATGAAAATTATCATATATTTTATCATTACAATTCTGATTAAATGCGCCAACTTTTGGTGAACCTTCCTACAAGGTTTGGTACATTTTTTTGAAGGAATCCTCTAAAAATGGACCTATTTTGAAAATTTCAATTTCATAGTATAGCAAAAGTCCTAATTTTTGAAAACTAGGGACAAATGTGTTCTTGTTTTTTATTGTGGTCCTGGAAATGTTATTCATGGTTGCGGTTTTAAAGTTTAAATGATCAAAATTAGTAGAAATTAACCACAATAACCAAAAAAAAAATATCATGATAACACCAAAGCTCTAGGTTGCACTTAAAAGCTCATAATTTCCAAACAACGTGAGATACTTTTTTCCCATTTTTTTTTTATGTTAAGGTCAAAACTATCGTCCCGATTTGGCTTGACGTTATGTATTATATTAACTTATACTTTTTTCGAATTAAAGTAAGTATTATTTATGTCTAATTTTTAAAATTATGGGAAGAGAGAAAAATGAATTATATTAAATAAATCTGTTATTAGAAATCTTACGTCCGGCTAGAGATTAACTTTTTATTTAACAGTAATGTGTAAAGTTTATTAATTGCTTAATAACTTTGAATATCCAAAACTGGTTTGAATATCCATATTGTTTAATTCAAGCTTTTGTCGTTTTTTTGCTAGTAATCATTAAAAATCCTGACGAAAAAAGTAAATAGTTTAAGTTTGTTGCTAATATTTTGCAATTAATGAGTACCATAAAATAATATGCGTATATTATAATTAATTATATCGTTTGAATTGTTATCAATAAGTGCACATAAACTGTCATTATATTACATTTACAGCTAAAAATTTTTATAAATTCATCTATGTAATTGAATTTCAACGATGGCAAATTAAGATAGTCATATATATTTTTAGGCAAAGCGTTTTTTGGATCCAACTACTTTATTTCATACTGACATTGAGGAAGCAATGCAAAGATTAGATCATGCAATTAACATTTTGAAGCTATTCCGTACTCATTATGATTACTATAAAGAAAGACTACCAACATTTTTCAAGAACAAGGCACCAGTATTGTGGACCATACATCCGAATACAATATTTCAGCGTAGTATTTTATTTATAGAACGGTTGGAAGTAATCAAATGGTTTTTTACCACAGTTTTAGAATTTATGAAGCTCGAAAAAATCGAAATAGCGGGCTTAAAAGGACGCACCCTTAGTGCCAAAATACAAGATATTAGCGCAGATTTCAATGCTTACTTCACTGTTTTTGCCAGCAAAACATATGATGTACTGGATCCAGCAGATCTTTCATTTCAAGATGATTTTGATGGGTTTCAAGAAAAAATCCTGCAATTGGATTTAAAGCTTTGTGCGGTTTTATGCCAGGCGTTTGATGAATGTTGCAATTTGGAAGCAGTTTTCAAGGTAAATAAAATTTTGGTGTAATCTTATCATATTCAAAGTATATGCCGAATGAGTGAAGTAAAGAAGTAATCCAAATTATATAATTTGCTGTCAAATGATAAAGAAAGTACAAAAATCTAACAACGCCAACTTTACTGTGTTAGAAAAAGTAGTCAGTAGTTATTTAGATAGTTTTTACCAGTTTCTGATAAAATTTGTAGAGGGCCTACTATAATATTTAGATGCAAGTTTAGCCCAAAATTTATCAAAATATTGCATAGATAAAAAGAAGCTGAATAAGTAAATAATAATATATATCCTTTATTATAATTTATGTTAAATGACTTTTATATTTTTACATTAGTTAATAAACATTGCTGGATCAGTTCTTGAGCGGCCAACGATCAGAAAGGAATTCACGAACAAGTACGTTAAAATATTGAACATGTTGCGAAAAGAGATGTCGGTGTGTAAACAAATATTTCAAGATCAAATGGCTTTTATCGAAAACTGTGGTTGGATGCCACTGGACAGATGGATGCCTCCTGTTTCGGGAGCTTTGGTCTGGTCGCGGCAACTCAAGACTAGAGCTTCGATGCCAATTGATTACTTCAAAAGCGTTCAACATCAGTGAGTTTAGTAAAGTAAACAATTCACGTAATGTGTTATTTTGTCACTGTAGACAGTATATATTATTCTGACATATTTATTTTCTGTAACTAATAAATATCAGTAACTGTTACTGCTGTAACAGCACTACTTTTTTATACTTCTTTCTTATATATCCTGTTTTACATATAAAAATATGAAAAACTAGTGGTGGATAGCATCGTACCACAAGGCAAATTGCTGGAACTTTTTGTACCAAAAATTAAAATTTGTAAAAAACTTCAATTTTTTTTAGAACTCCGAAAAAAATCAATTTTTAAAGATTCAAAATTTTTGAAAAAAATTTCTTTTCGAAAAATTTGATTTTTTCATACTTTGAAATAATTTGGAAATTTTGAGCTTCCTTTCAAAGTAGTCGTGATAGTCCGCCAAATGACATTTTTTTCACTTTTTTGTTAAATCTTCGAAACCGCTAGACCTGCTTTCCCAAAAGTTAATCAGTTCTTCATTTCGCCAATACAAATAAAATGTTTTTTGAATCATACAAATCGGACGTTCCGTTCTCACAAAGAATCAATTGCCATTTTTGACACTTTTTGCCCCGTATCTTCGAAACGGCTCGGCCTGGCTTCACCAAAAAGTAACCAGCACGCCTCATATCAATAGAAATCGAATGTTTTTTTAATTATTTAAATCGCTTGACTTGTGTTCCCAAAATCGTCGACAAAAATTTGTATCCGCACACAAACACATACACACACAGACATACACACATACACACACCCATACGTACACACATACATTCATTTTTTTTAAGGTATACCATTACTATAACTTACCCTAGGGGAAGTTAATAAAAAGTATAGAATTTGTTGTAATAAAAAGAATTAACCATAATAATAATTATTATTTGATTTTTTGGCAACTTTGTGATATTAATAGTATTTATAATCATCTTCTTACTAAAAAATCATCAACCTTGATATGACTCTTCATCAGGGGCGTAGCTACCGCCGTATTAGCCGTATCCGTATAATCATACGGGGCCCCCGGGCCAGGGAGCCCCCAACGAGCGTAAGCAGAATTTGATAAAAACTGTTAAATGAAGCAACAAATTTACAAAAAATTTAATTATTTCAATATAGTTGGCATTACATTTTTTTATCGAAAGGTATTGAATTTTATTTTAGTTTCTGAATATAATTTATTTAATAATAAAAATTCAATTAGAAAATTCTAGTTTTAAACTTTTTAGCTCAACACTTTAAGAGAATTTATATTCTGCTGTGCAATATTCAAAAATTTTTGTATGTACTTTCTGAAGACTGTGTTTTTAAACTTACCTGATAATTAACCCTGAAAATTGGAAGTTGGAATTTTCATAGCTGAATTTACAAAATGTTTACATTTGTTTTTGTTTCTACTTGAATTGTCGGTATGATGTTTAAATTTAATAGTTTGATTTAAATAAAAATAAAAAATACAAAAGGCGTAAGATAACTTAACGTTTTTATTATGTGTTATCACAAGATGAGCAAATTTTAGACCAGGAGTCTTATTTCGAAATTAATGCATATTATTACTGTTTGAATATATTAATTTCACAAACCAATCAAAGATTTCAAAATCTTTGCGACGTAAGTAGTACGTTCAGAATAATGCATCCGGACAAACTTTTGTCCAAAACTGTCTTTTTCAAATCAAGAGATAATAAACGCTTACGGAAAACTGTCGACTAAGTAATGTAAAGATATCTCAGGTAATCTTTATGACCAATTGATGATTTTGAAACTGTTTTTAAAATTAGAAATCCAAGAATTTTATTTCACAATTGAATGTTCCAATTTTAAATTTTCGGTCAAATTTTTGGTGAAGTACAATAACAATGTGTGTCAAGTTTCATCAAAATCGCAAACTGGGTTTATGAAAAAATACCATCTGTTTAAATATTAGTATTGAGCGCAGAGCCTCAATATTTCTCTAAAATCAGATTTATTATTGAATTTCAGAATCACTGCAACAAATCATGCAAAACAAATACTGTCTGTTTATGAAACACTTATGAAGGATATAAAATCATTCGAAAAACAAGTGTTTGAAAAATGGATCACATTCATACCATTAGAAATATCAAAAAATCTGAAGAAACCTATAATAGAAAGAAAAAACGATAATCCAAATTTAATTATATTAAACTTTGATCCAGGGGTACGTATATTACTTAATTTGTTGCTGGTCAAACTTAGTAATTACATATGTTTTAGTTAGCAGAAATTTTAGAAGAGGTTCGGTACATGAAAATATTAAGCAGTAAAGATATTCCTGAAGAAGCAATTCTGATTTTTAATAAATATGAAACCTTCAGAAAATATACAAATGATTTGGAGAAAATAATTTACTATTATAATAAAATAAAACTTATCTGTGGAAAGGTGGAATATAATCTTATAAGTACCGACATAGAAGCTATCGATGCTTTGATACTGAGAGGTCAAACTGATTTAAATTGGGATTCTCCAGGTATTTTATTGAAAAAATCTGTATGGTTAATAAATTTTTAATATACTTATATAAATTATTCTGTTTTAGATTTGGGTCAATATTTAAATTGCCTAGAAGCACCTATATACTCACTTCAAGACAGAGTAACGAAAGCGAAAGAAAATATTCAGGCAATAAAGGATATTATGTCATACTGGTCCAAAGTGCCTTTATTTGAAAGGAAAAATTCTAGAAAAGTATTATCTTTCACATATGCATGAGATTTTCAAACTATCTCATACTAACTTATGTGCTTATTTTAGGACACTTTATTATACCTGGACGAGAGAAGTGACCGAACGCAAAAAGCTTATTCACAAATAATTAACGCATCCGAAAAAATTCACTCCCTTCTAAAAGAAAATATGACTCTACTTGGTTTGCAAAATAATATAGATGAATCTACCTGGAAGGATTATGTTTCCTATGTTGATGAAATCGTATATGACTCGCTATTAAAAACTGTCGGTTGTAGGTAAGTTTATTTAATTTTTGTCTGATCATGAAGGAATATTTATTTCGCTTATTCTTTGAAAATAATATTTTTATTATATGTGGACAAAAAATGGTTTTATATAATCTTCTCTTTTTTGTTCTGATATTTAGTGGAAACTAATCTTTCTTTTTACGTCAGATTTATAATGCTGATAAATTTAAGAACTTTTATTTTAAACTAGTGGGGCGCATGGCATCTAGCCTTAAGGCAAATTGCTGGAACTTCCCGTACCAAATATTATTATTTTTTTAAAAACGATCAACATTTTTGAAAAAAAAATTTTTTCCTTATTTTGACATATTTTGGAAATTCTGAACTTTTTTTTAAAGCAATCGTACTGCTTTAACCGCATAGAGACAAAATGTCAAAGCGCGTAAGCGCCGCGTCGCCGTCTAACGAATAAACATTGGTACGGAACCCATAGGAATGCAAACAAAATTTATATATACTTATTGTTAAAATCTCTATAAAATATCTGATAATTTGATGTGCATATGTCTAATGATCATTTTTGACTGCCAAATGGTATATATATGATAAGATACATCAAGCACAATAAAAATCGTCTATTTTTTTATCTGCCAAAAACAAACTATGCTACTTAAAACTTATGGCCTGTTGTGTTAAGGGGCACACCTAGTGTGAAATTTTCAAAAAATCTAATTTTGAATTTTTATATACTATATTGTTGTCCATACGAAGAAGAAGTTTTTTGATCTGATCAAAAATCGAATTTTGGTAAGCCAAAAACGATCAAAATTTTGGGAAAAATTTAACTTTTTTTCCAACATGCCGCCATTTTGTCAATTTTTGATTTTTTTGTTCGCCCGAGGGTCATCGTACAGACAATATGTTCTGGCTTACGGAGATTTTTTTAAATTTTTCATCAACGGAGAAGGCTACATCACTCCAGCATTGGAGGAACTTTTTTTGGCGCCGCCGGAGATTGCGTGTCATTTCAAAAATATTTAATATTTTATTTCAAAAATTTCACTGTATATTCTCAAAACCAATATACCCTCAAAATTTTAAATAGATGGATTCACTAGTTTTATTGTTATTTTAATTTCCATAAATGACTTTTTTTAGGTTGTCACACTAGGTGTGCCTCTTAAGGCAATATGTACCAACTCTCAATAGCATAAAAATTTTATAATCAAATGCAATTTAAAACGTTTATCTTATTTTTTTAACACGCGTCGTCTATTTGCTGCAAATGCGATTGTAACTGAAATTCATTATATTTTTGGCCATATTATATTTATATTCTATTTTAAGTAACAAAATACATTTTTCTAGCTTGGGTTATTTAATCGAGAATATGGATCCTGATAACAAACTATCACCTCTATTCGAATCAAAATTAGAACTTAAAGAACCAAATTTAGTATTTGTTCCATCTCTGAATCCAGATGAGCCCGGCTGTTTCAGTCACATTATAGCCGAGTTAGTCAGCGACATTATTAAAATTTGTAGTTTGATTCCAAGAGTTGCTTCCAGTAAGCAAACTTATGCTGAAATTATTTGTGCAAATAATGATATAAAGGAAATGAAAAATGAAATTATGCAAAATGTTGATGATGTTATTCAAAAAGCAACAGATTTTTGTCGAAACTTTGACAAATATTCATATTTATGGCTGGAAGACAGACACGCAAACATGGAAATATTTCTTACTTATGGACGATTGCTAAATCCTGAAGAGTTGGAACTTGCTACCTTCGATGATCCTATGGCACCTCCAAAACGTGCACCAAAAATTGAATCATTTCGAGAACAAATTGACAATTATGAATCGCTGTTTACAGAAATTGAGGAAATTGAGATAAATCAGATATTTAATGGGTGGTTCCAAGTGAATAATTTTTCAAAATACTTATAAAAGAATAGATAGAGTAGTTTTAACACAAAACTTTTATTTTCAGGTAGACATTAAGCCTTTTCGGCAATCTCTTTTAAACACAGCGGCGAAGTGGGGCAATATGTTCAAAACACATTTGGTAGATGATGTAACTAATAGGTAATGATGAATAATATTTTTATCTGTATATAAATTTTCACAAAATGGGTAAACCATGCGAAAAATTAGTGAAGAAAGTTTCGCTATTATCACGTAGTTTTTTAAGCAAATTAATGCATTTACTCGAAGTTAAAGGTCACAACAGTTTTCGAAAAGTATTAATTTGAACGAAAAATACTAAGAAAAAAAATGCGCGTAAGGTTCACATGCGATTGAAGTAAAACTTATTTGCTACTGTACAAGATAGCATTTAAGTAAAAATAAATACATCATATAACAATTTTGAATAATGTTTATTAGTAATATGGTAACACTCGTGATGCACACATTTATTAGTGCCAACCATTATACACATTTATATAATAATAAATTATAAATTATATATTTATAATAGCATTAAAAATATGTATAATATTTAAAAACAATAACGTAATTAAAGTCATACTTCAAATATGACATGATCGGTTTGTCATTGTAATTAGCATTTACAAATGAAACTTCATTAGAGAAATGAATAATTACTGATTAATAAATTCTATAATATTCGTTCACATAGTGGATTATGTTAAACAACGCCTAAACAAATATTGTTTTCGCAACTTCAATCGCTGTACACTCATCATGTAATTGTGTTTGAAAAACTTCATGTAATTAAAATTAACATACATTCATTGACTGCTTGTATTTTTTTTTACTTTTTTGCTGGCGATATAATATCATTCTTTGAACAGCTGTAATACCTGTTTTGCCTAAAAAATATTTTCCATTTCAATAACTTCAAAAATTTTTAGAAACTACGAATAATATGGAAATAATTTCTAATCAATAAATTTACGTTTAGTACACTGCTAAACAAATATTTAATTTGTTTTATTATTTTCAAGGAACAGGGTAAAATATTCTTCTGATTCAAGCATTTTTCATTGATTCAAGATTTGTACTACGATGTAACTTTAAAATGTTTATTTATCTATGCCGATTGTCTTGTTGATATCGGCATAAAACGACTGATCTTTATTCACTTTTTTAATGATCTCATAATTTGACGATATTATAATTTTTTACACCCAAACTTGATGATATGGTCAATATATTATAAGCAATAAATATTTTAATAGGCTTCTAGATTTAGCAGCATTTATTCGTGAAACTGATGAAGGTTTACTTCAAGTTGTTCAAGAAGGTGACTATGAAAAGCTGGTAAAAATTATGGGGTATCTGATGAACATAAAAGAACGCAGCGAAGTAACTAACGATATGTTTGGACCCCTGACTGATACTATTGAGTTATTAAAATTTTATGATATGGATATACCAGAGGAAGTGAATGTTCTTCTTCAAGAATTACCAGAACAATGGACGAATACAAAAAAGAATGCCTTAACAATAAAGCAACAAGTTGCACCATTACAAGCTGCTGAAGTAACGTTCATTAGGAAGAAAATTTTGGAATTTGATGCTGATGTATTACTATATAGAGATTTTTTCAAATCATTAACGTTTTTCAAATTTGATTGTCGTGATCCTTATAAATTGTTCGATCATACGAACAGTGATTTGTATCGTTTAGAATGTCGAATGACATCCATCCAATCTTCAGGCTCGTTATTTGAGGTCAGTGTTCCAGAATTTAAGTTGTTGAAACAGTGCAGAAAGGAATTACGCATGATTAAGGTGATTATTTCTCAAATTGAAAAATTGTATGCCCATAAAAATATAATATTATTCTCCTCTTACAGCAATTGTGGGATTACGTATTTATAGTTCAAACCAGTGTGGAAGATTGGAAAACAACTCCCTGGAGGACAATAGATGTAGAAAACATGGATATTGAATGCAAAAAGTTTGCAAAAGATGTTAGAATGCTGGACAAAGAAATGAGAAATTGGGATACATATAATGTACTTGATGCTACTGTTAAAAATATGCTGACTTCATTGCGAGCAGTAGGTGAGCTGCAGAATACTGCGATAAGAGATCGACATTGGCACCAGTTGATGAAATCCACTAAGGTATATGTTGTGACTTATATCCGATAGTTGAAAATTGTATATATTGAACAAAATTTGATTTAAATTGTACATAAAATGTAGTTTGCGATCAGATACATTTAAAACAATCAAAATATAGTTTTGCGAAAAATACTAAAATATAAACTTGCTTCTGCCTAACAATGACTACAGTTAAGATCTCGATCACAATTTGTTATTTGCTTCGGTTTGCTCCTATTATTACTTCGTATCACTTTCATTTGTAATTAATTTGGTGCTTTTTTACATGAACATTGCTCGAAAAAAATTATAACAAGCTTATTCCAAATACATCAATTATAATTCTGAATTGAACAGCGTTCTTATATTTATAATATCATATTATGATAAAAAATTATTATTCATATTTGAACGGTCACCGACTAAAAGCTACGTAAAACTAATTGTAATTTTTTACACAAAAAATTCCTAATGAAAAGACGAATTTATACGTAAAAAACTCAAAGTTTATTTGGAGAAAGTAAAGAATTATTTTTATATTAACAAAGAATTTAAAAAGGTTTCACTTATTATTGCTTGGATTTGACGGTCAATCCATTAAAACAAAAATTTTAATTTGTTATAGACTATATAATTCTATTAATTATACCTACTAAAGTGGTCATATAAAACGCATTCATTTTAACACAAAATAGTAAAATAATTTCTGATGTATTAATTTGTTTATAAGGTTTATGTGTTTGATAAATATTTATGATTTACAATGGAGTAAAACTAATGGTTTTAGAATGCTCTATTTTATTGCAAATAAATTTATATACATAAAACCTTAATATAAAATGCTTTTATTTATGGCCAGTATAATTTTATATCACATCGCCACTTTTCGGAAATGTTTCTCATTTAACGATATATAATTCTAACAGAAAATATTGAATATTGAACATCAATAGATGTAATACTAATAATTATATTATAATAATATAATATTATAAAACAAATAATATAATATTCTATAATCTTAAATATTTATATGGGGCTGTCTATGCTTTATAGTAGTCATTGTTTGGTATGAACTTTTACTGCAAATTGTAAATATTTGCTTTTTTATATCATTTACATCTAATATTTTAAAATTTAATAGTGCTAAACATACAATTACCTGAATATTATACAATCAAAAAAATGTTGCAGTTGTACATAAATTCTTTCACCGAATTGTGATATATAAAAGTTTTCATATGCACAACTGGCGCTGGGCAATAAATCCTAAACCACTATAAAAAAACTACCAAAATTATAAATATTTGTACATCGATGGTATTTGGAATTTACTTTGCCCAGTGCCAGCAGATGTACACATTTATTAATGGTGTTATAAGAAAATTCTGATAATCTGCCTGATTTGATTTTTATACAAAATTCAGGGAAAAATATATTTTGCTCAATACATATAAATCTCATGTCTCAAAACATATGGAGATTATGCGGGTTGATCCACGTTTGTTGTTTCTAGCAAAATGTACAATTTATGCTTAAAATAGAAAACTTTCTAATTTATTATTACATAAAATCAGGCAGATAATATAAAAGGGCACCAGGATAATATTATATCAATATATTTCAACAGGATTTTGTACATACAATTTGTAATATATTCATCTTGTATATAGTACCAAATTATTATACTCATTTGACATAATTGCAGAGTTTAGCTGCACTTGGTCCTGAGGTTACAGTAAGTAATTTGTCACCATTTCATCTTGTTAATAAGCTAATTTTATTTGAATGTTCACTTGTAAGCAATGAGCGTGTATGTATATTGTTTCCACATATCGTTTATATTATTTATATTATATGTATATAAATGCACGTAAATTAGTAAAGTATTAAGAACTTGAACTAGAGTAATTCACAATTAGATTAATTAGAGTACTGTACAACTACTTCACTACTTTAAGTATACTAATAATTTTTATGACGGACATATGTTAAATAGTGTATGTAAATATATAATTTTAAAAACAACTAGTGGTGTATGGCATCGTTCCTTGAGGCAAATTGCTGGAACTTCCCGTACCGTAATAAAATGTTCGAGAAATATTAAATGTTTTCAAATAGATTATTATAAATACTGTATAATATTTATAAGAATTATATAAACTGAATTGCAAAGTTGAAATTATTTGTTTGAAGTATATTAGAACTTTAGTCAAAATTAAAATTAAAATCTGAATTATTTTCGGTATACAAAAAAAAACAATTTTTGAAAAAAAAAAGTTTTTTTTCCAAAAGCAATTATTTTGTTAAAACAAGCAGAAAGTTCTTTGAATCATTCGAATCGGACGCTTATTCTCTCAACTGCCATTTTTTACACATTTAGCTCTGTATCTTCAAAATGGCCTGTCTTTGCCAAAAACGAATCATCTCCTTATCAGTAAGAATCGAATGTTTTTTGGCTCTACGGAAAGTTAACAAAATGAATACAAAAGGAATTACAATGTTGTTAGTTGTAAACTAAAAATGACCAGATTTTTTAATTTAAAATTTTTGAAAACATTAAAACATCTTGAAAACCTTGATGTAATTAAATTTCTGAGAATTTTGAAATTTTTGGAAAAAATTAGACTTTTTTCAAAAATTTTAATTTTTTGAGTTTTTTAAATCATTCAAATCGAACGTTCCGTTCTCTCAAAAACTGAATTACTATTTTTAGCACGTATCTTCAAAACGGTAGGATCTGCTTTTGCCAGAAACTAATCAGCGTGTCTCCCCATCAATAGGAATCGAATGTTTTTTGAATCATTCAAATTGGTTAATTCGTGTTCCTTAAATCGTTGACGTCAAAATTGTATCCGCACATACATACACACACATACATCCATTATATCTAAGGTGTGCCATAATGTTCAGAAAGCTTTAAAACGTAAAAATATAGAAAAAAATAAGATAAGTTAATAACAGCAGATAAAGAAACTGTTTATTCAAAATTGTATTCAAGAACATTCTCACACATTTCAATTTCATACTTTTTTGTTAAAAGTTGAATTTGGCACTTGCAATAAAAATATTTAAATCTAGTAAATCTAGATTTATTATCCCTTACATAAAATTTTTATTAAACTAGCTGTAAGTGGAATTCTGTCTTAAGGCAATTAGGGCATCGTGCCTTAAGGCAAATTGCTGGAACTTCCCGTACCAAAAATTATTTTTTTTAAAAACGATTATAATTTTTGAAAAAAATTTACTTCGAAAAAATAAGATTTTTGACAAACTATAAAATGGACCAAAAATTACTTTTTTTTGAAAAAAAAAAAATATTTTTTTTAATTTTTTTTTTTTTTTTGAAAAAAAATGTTTTCTTTATTTTGACATATTTTGGAAGATCTGAACTTGTTTTTCAAAGCAATCGCACTGCTTTAACTGCATAGAGACAAAATATAAAGCGCGTAAGCGCGGCGTCGCTGTCTAACGGGTAAACATTGATACGGAACCCATAGGAAAATAAACAAAATTTATACTTATTGTTAAAATCTCTATAAAATATCTGAAAATTTGATGTGCATATGTCTAATGATCATTTTTGACCGCCAAATAGCATTTTTTTTTACTTTTTTTGTTAGATCTCCGAAACCGCTAGACCTGCCTTTATGAAAATTTGAACTATTCTTTATCAAGTCAATACAAGTAAAATGTTTTTTGAATTATTAAAATCGGACGCTCCGTTCTCTTAAAAACTGAGTTACCGTTTCCGGCACTTTTTGCACCGTATCTCCGAAACGGCTAGACCTGCCTTCGCCAAAAACTAATCAGCACGCTTCCTTATCAATACGAATCGAATGTTTTTTGAATTATTCAAATCGGTTGATCCGTGTTCCCGAAATCGTCGACGAAAATTTGTATCCGCACATACATACACACACGCACACACACACACACACACACACACACACACACACACACACATACATCCATTTTTTCTAAGGTATGCCAAAATGTTCAGAAACCTCTGAAACGTAAAGATATATAAAAATTTTCATTTTCGATTTTTTTGCGATTACTATAACTTACCCTACGGGAAGTTAATTATTACAAGCTATCTACAATATGCTTGGTATTGTTATGCACAAATTAGTCACTAGTTTTAATAATAGTTTGAAAATTTCTTTTAATAATAATAATTTTAACATTATATAGTACACAAAATATTCCCTAAGGATTAAGTATACTATATGTAAATATGTTTATGTGTATTTATTTCCTTATTTTTTGTTGAAAGTATGTAAAGGTTTTGTTTAGTTGGTTGAATTGGATATATTGAATGTATACATGTATGTTCAAAGTGATGTGAATTTTATTACATTACATTAATAAGGATTGTTACTAATACTTGCTTGAATATCTAAAGACAAAATTCATCATGGATCACACAACGACATTAGCTGAATTGTTGGCGTTAAATTTGCATGAATGCGAAGATGAAGTGAAAACGATTGTTGACAAAGCCGTAAAGGAAATGTCCATGGAAAAGGTACTACGCGAACTTGATAGCACCTGGTCGGCTATGGAATTTGATCAAGAACAACACGTTCGCACAGGATCAAGTTTATTGAAAACTAGTGAAAATCTTATAGAAACATTAGAAGATAACCAGGTCAGCAACTTACTGTTTAATAAATTTATTTATTTAATGCAGTGTTCACGCTTGCTTGACAAATTTTATTTTATTTTATTTATTTCTTGAACCGTTAACATTTCACAAATCTTATACTAAACTAATAATTTTTCCATTAAATGTAAAGGTTCTGATTAAGTAGTGAAGTATATCTGGTCTTTCAAAGTAATTAGAATGTCTGTGTTCAGTTTTATTTCTAACTCTCATAATAAAAATTGCGCAGTGCTTTACATACGGTTTAGGCTACATTTTTTGTGAAGAATTGCAGAATTCACAAACTTTTTTGTCATAAATTATCTAAATTTAACTAATTTTACATTGGGCTTTCGTAAATTCTTCAGCAGATCTTACAATTCCTCCGAACTTCCTGGTAGAGTCATAAGATTTTGGTAGGGATTTACCTTAATTGCCCATGAACAAAAATATTTTCGATATCGGCAACTGGCTCAAAGGCAAATGGCGATTACATAAGGTGTCCCAGACCTTGACGTCAATTTGAAAAAAAAAATCATATTGTTTAGAAATTATGAGCTTTTAATTGCATCTAGAGTTTGATAAAATTATGACTATTTTTTGTTAATTGTGGTATTTTTTATACTGTGGATTAAGAAATGTTATTCACGGTTACGATTCCAAAGTTTAAATGAACAAAGTTAATAAAAGCTAAATACAATAACCAAAAAATGGTCATAATTTTATCAAAGCTCTAGATGCAATTAAAAGCTCATAATTTCCAAACAACGTAAAATGATATTTTTTGTAATTTTTTTCAGTAGGGTTAAGGTTAATATTATCACACCGTTCCGGCTTGACGTCATGGTCTGGGACACCCTGTTCATAGACCATGATAAATTTTATTAATTATCGTAATATGTAAGAATGGAATAATCCAGACAAAGTCTTACATAATTCAAAATTAGATTTGATTATTTTTAGTTAATGAATGAATAAATAATAGTAATTTATTATTGTAGGTCGTGCTACAAAATCTGATAACATCAAAATTTGTAGCATACTTCTTGGAAGAAGTTTCTACATGGCAAAATAAATTATTGGTTGCGGATCAAGTAATAACGATATGGTTTGAAGTTCAACGGACTTGGTGCCATTTGGAAAGCATCTTTATGAGCTCCGAAGATATTCGCCATCAGTTGCCAACAGATTCGGAGCGATTTGACTTCATAGATCACGAATTCAAGATTTTAATGAAAACAATGTCAACAACACCAAACGTCATAAAAGCTACCAACAGAGAGGGCTTAATTGAAAAGCTCGATGATTTGCAGAAGAATTTAATTTTGTGCGAAAAAGCATTGGCTGAATATTTAGAAACAAAGCGATTGGCATTTCCTAGGTTTTATTTTGTGTCTTCTGCAGATTTGCTAGATATATTGTCAAATGGCAATCAGCCGCATATGGTGACACGTCATTTGACAAAGTTATTTGATTCAATGGCTAAACTCAAATTCAAAGAGGATGAAGATGGAAACAGTATTAAGTCTTCTTTTGGTATGTTTGCAAAGGATACGGAATATGTTGCTTTTAATGAAGAATGTGATTGCAATGGACCGGTTAGTATATTTCTATTATCAGTTTCTTAATACTATATGCTTTCGCATCAATGATACATTGACTATGTTAAATTTGACATGTGATAGGTAATTCCCTTTGAAGCACGTACACTATTTATGTGAATTTTACCATCAGAAAATATCATGGTTTCACATTTTTTAAAAATATTAGGTTGTCAAATATCTCCCTTCCGCCTTTTTGTATTATAAACCAATAGCAAAAAAGCGGAAGATATTTGACAACCTAATATAACTACATGATCTGAGAGTCTAAAAACAACTTGACTTGATCATGAATTTATTCTAATATTGTAATTGATAATCATTTTTTGTAATATTGAAATTAAAATTTGACTAAAATTATGTATCATTATCATGAGCAATTGCGGATTATCTAAAAATAATTCTATATATGTTGATATTAAGGGGAGGGGAGGGAATAGTGGTAAAGGTAATGATAGATGAAGGGTAAGGGAATCATTTATTTGTGGTGGCTCTCACACCATGGACCTGCCTTCGGGCAGATTACCATTTATTATTATTATGTTGATTTTATATTAACAAATTGCGATACTTAACATATGTATTGATAAAATTAATTGTTGTTTCAAAATGAGATTCCAATACTTAGAAGCTTTGCAAAATAATGATGCATCATTCATAGTTTTTTTTTTTTTTGTTTGTTTTACTATTAACTTCATATTTTTTTTATTAAAGGTGGAAGTGTGGCTAAATAGATTACAGACATCGATGCGAGAATCAATAAGACTGTATTTCAAAGCAGCTGTTTACATGTATGAAGAAAAACCAAGAGATCAATGGCTTTTTGATTATCCGGCGCAAGTATCTCTTTGTGGTACTCAAATTTGGTGGACAACAGAAGTCAATATAGCGTTTGCTAAATTGGAAGAGGTAGTTGTTTTGATAATTAAACAAGTGTAGAAAATAATCTCATGATTATTATAACAACATTGGTAAAAACTAAACTATTTTTTTTGGTCTAACATGGCAAATTCTTCTTACTACTTGATCGACAATGATCAATATTTGTCTTGTGATATTTTTCTTACCTTTTATTGCAGCAACTTTTCTGATACCAAGCTGCTACAAGCGTAAAATTTAAATGCATTTTCACCAAACGTTATTTCTGGATTTCTATACACTACACCTATTTGGCGTCTAGAAATTTGTTCCATCTAATCAATTATTTTTCACTATCAGCTATTGATAATTAGCAGTAGATGATCGATCTCCAAAGACTGATGTATTGTAAAATTCAAATACGCTGCATTTACCATAAATGCTTAAACTGAACTTTAAATTATTGAACCACAGGGCTAATAATAGTATTTTAATTAAATTAATCATTTCAGGGTTACGACAACGCGATTAAAGATTACTACAAGAAGCAAATCCAGCAACTGTCCACGCTGATTTCCTTACTCCTTGGACAATTGACAAAATGTGATAGGCAAAAGATTATGACAATATGTACAATAGATGTGCATTCAAGAGACGTTGTTCATAAATTCATTCAATCCAAAATAGAAACGGGCGCAGCATTTATGTGGCAATCTCAATTACGACATCGATGGGATGAAGGCAAAGTGGATTGTTTTGCCAATATATGCGATGCCCAATTTAAATATAGCCACGAATATTTGGGTAATACACCGCGTTTGGTCATTACACCTTTGACTGACAGATGTTATATCACACTGACTCAGGTATAAATAAATTACAATATTATATTTAAATAATTTGGTTATAACTGGTATGTACTTCATATGCGATCTGCTTTTATACTTTTTTGTAATTGAATTTATATCTTGAATCTTCTTTTACATTTTTTCAACGTGTTACAAACAAATATAAAATATTTCCAATGTATATGCATATGAAGGAGAAGTTTGTTTTCATAAAAAAATCCGATTGGCAAATTTCACGTTTTCTCGACGTTTTAAGCCATTCTGAATCGAATGAGATCAAATTTGGTAAAAGTATATGTGTGTATTTTTTGTATAGCAAAGGAAATGAGTTTACGCTTACCAGGCTAGGTCTTTTGTTTGAGTATGTAGGACTCAATACCGCATGTGTGTAATACCGACTAAAACTGTCGGTATAAGTATGCATGAACAATTGAATTCAATTCAATTACATTAGAAATTGAAAACAAAACTGAGACTTAAGTTTAGATATATATATATATATATATATATATATATATATAAAGAAGTTAGTTTTGCTGTTGAGAAATATGATAGCGCAAAATTATGTGCCATGCGCTAGCTACTGATGTAAGACCATATTTATATTCACTGATGATGACATAAAATCCTATGTCGAAACGTTTGGAAAAATTAAAGATTAACTTCTAAATCTTGGCCTTTTATTAGATGTATGCCCTTGAAGAACTTACTTATCTTATATCTTATATATAAAAATGGAGCTCTCTTTCAAATGTCTAAAAAAAATGTCTAAAAAAATGCTAAACTGATTTGGCCAGTCTTAGACTTGAATAATTCGTGCCAATCTAGAAAAAGTCCAAAAGGTGAGATATTATTCCAAAATCGCGTAGAAACTTTACATTTTTAATTTGAAAATTTCTGTAGAAGCGTAATTTGAATAAAACAATAGACGGTGGCTATTACGTGAAATGTCAAACGTTCTTGACCGATGGTGTTCAATTACTTTTAATAGGAAGTTTTACGTGAATATTTACGACAATATAAGTCGAAAGACCAAAAAAAACTTGGATTGGATTATACCATTGGATTTTCTATAGAAAGTATATAAAACTTCTAGTTTGATTGTATTGACAAAATATCGGTAATCTTCGAAAATCCATAATAAAAGTATTTTCTTCCGTTGGTAGTTTTTTAGCATTAGTTAAAAATGTAATTATTTTGTAAAATACCTTTAAATTAAAATAAGGTTTTAAACGTGTTTGCCACCTGGCCGTTCCAAGTTACCCCGCCTATAGGGTAAAGAGGTGTAGATAACGAATTTTTGAAAGACATAAAAAAATGCATTTCTACAATGATGAAGTAGCTGGAAATTTTACTGAACGTAGTCAGATAATTGTTCGTTAATTCATCGAATGTCACTTGAAACTTCGTAACTTAAAAATTTCAAGAAAAAAAATTTGAAAAAAAAATTATAACAATTTTTTTCCATTAGCAATTATTTTGTTAAAACAAGCAGAAATTTCTTTGAATCATTCAAATCGGACACTTAGTTCTCTCAAAAACTGCCATTTTTTGTACATTTAGCTCTATCGAAATATCGGAGTATCGGAGTATCGGAATGTCGGAGTATCGGAGTATCGGAATGTCAGAATGTCGGAATGTCTGAATGTCTGAATGTCTGAATATCTGAATATCTGAATATCTGAATATCTGAATATCTGAATATCTGAATATCTGAATATCTGAATATCTGAATATCTGAATATCTGAATATCTGAATATCTGAATATCTGAATATCTGAATATCTGAATATCTGAATATCTGAATATCTGAATATCTGAATATCTGAATATCTGAATATCTGAATATCTGAATATCTGAATATCTGAATATCTGAATATCTGAATATCTGAATATCTGAATATCTGAATATCTGAGTATCTGAGTATCTGAATATCTGAGTATCTGAATGTCGGAATATCTGAATGTCGGAATATCTGAATGTCGAAATATCTGAATGTCGGAATATCTGAATGTCGGAATATCTGAATGTCGGAATATCTGAATGTCGAAATATCTGAATATCTGAATATCTGAATATCTGAATATCTGAATATCTGAATATCTGAATATCTGAATATCTGAATATCTGAATATCTGAATATCTGAATATCTGAATATCTGAATATCTGAATATCTGAATATCTGAATATCTGAATATCTGAATATCTGAATATCTGAATATCTGAATATCTGAATATCTGAATATCTGAATATCTGAATATCTGAATATCTGAATATCTGAATATCTGAATATCTGAATATCTGAATATCTGAATATCTGAATATCTGAATATCTGAATATCTGAATATCTGAATATCTGAATATCTGAATATCTGAATATCTGAATATCTGAATATCTGAATATCTGAATATCTGAATATCTGAATATCTGAATATCTGAATATCTGAATATCTGAATATCTGAATATCTGAATATCTGAATATCTGAATATCTGAATATCTGAATATCTGAATATCTGAATATCTGAATATCTGAATATCTGAATATCTGAATATCTGAATATCTGAATATCTGAATATCTGAATATCTGAATATCTGAATATCTGAATATCTAAATATCTGAATATCTGAATATCTGAGTATCTGAATGTCGGAATATCTGAATGTCGGAATATCTGAATGTCGGAATATCTGAATGTCGGAATATCTGAATGTCGGAATATCTGAATATCTGAATATCTGAATATCTGAATATCTGAATATCTGAATATCTGAATATCTGAATATCTGAGTATCTGAATATCTGAATATCTGAATATCTGAATATCTGAATATTTGAATATCTGAATATCTGAATATCTGAATATCTGAATATCTGAATATCTGAATATCTGAATATCTGAATGTCGGAATATCTGAATGTCGGAATATCTGAATGTCGGAATATCTGAATGTCGGAATATCTGACTGTCGGAATATCTGAATGTCGGAATATCTGAATGTCGGAATATCTGAATGTCGGAATATCTGAATGTCGGAATATCTGAATGTCGAAATATCTGAATGTCAAAATATCTGAATATCTAAATATCTGAATGTCTGAATATCTCAATATCTGAATATCTGAATATCTGAATATCTGAATATCTCTAGAAATTGATTAGAATATACATTACTTAGCCAAACAACGTTTGCCGGGTCAGCTAGTATATATATAATATATATATACTAGCTGTAATATATATATATATATATATTATTGAATGGTAGAGTCTTGGATTTGTGTATATTTTTTGTAGAGTTTCGAACAAGAATCCAAAAATAATACAAAATATATTATATATATATATATATATATATATATATATATATATCTACATATGTGTGTGTGTGTATATTCATGCATCATACTACTTTTTATCTTTAAATTGTGTTGCCATATTTTTTATATATTGCATCAATTTTTTTTTGTTAGTCATTGCATCTGGTCATGGGCGGAGCTCCTGCTGGTCCAGCCGGAACTGGTAAAACGGAAACTACAAAAGATTTAGGCCGAGCTCTTGGAATTATGGTTTATGTGTTCAATTGTTCTGAACAAATGGATTACAAATCTTGCGGCAATATATACAAAGGACTAGCCCAAACCGGTGCTTGGGGATGTTTTGATGAATTCAACAGAATAACAGTAGAAGTTTTATCTGTAGTTGCTGTGCAAGTTAAATCTGTACAGGACGCAATTAGAGATAAGAAGACTACTTTTAATTTCATGGGAGAGCAAATAGCCCTTACACCAACGGTAGGAATATTTATTACTATGAATCCGGGTTATGCTGGACGAACAGAGTTGCCAGAGAATTTAAAAGCGTTGTTTAGGTAAAGTTACCGATTATTTTAAGAAGTTGTACATTGTGTTGTACGTTTCAAAATAACTAAATTGTATCGAGTATTTTAAGAAGTACGTTGTACATTCTTACCTATTTATAAATTATTTATATTTTCCATTTTTTAGGCCGTGCGCCATGGTCGTTCCCGACTTCGAATTAATTTGCGAAATTATGTTAGTAGCAGAAGGATTTCAAGATGCAAGAATTCTTGCTAGAAAATTTATAACATTGTATACATTATGCAAAGAGCTTTTGTCGAAGCAAGATCATTATGACTGGGGTCTGAGAGCTATCAAATCTGTACTGGTAGTCGCTGGATCACTTAAGGTAACTTATAGAATAATAAGTTTTTTTGGTAAATTATATACGATATAAAAAGTAAGGTCTAGTAAGAACATGCATTAAAACATGATTGTTATCGAGGATAATGTTTTCGAGAGATTAAATGAAATGAAATGAAAATTAATGTTTAAAGTACAAATTGTAGATAAATATAATAGCTTTAAATGTATCTACTTATAGATCGATTTATATGTTATATATGAGATTGATTAATTAATGTTTAATATTTCTGTTTCGAATTAGCGAGGAGATCGAGGTAGACCTGAAGAAGAAGTTCTAATGCGAGCTCTGCGAGATTTCAACATACCAAAAATAGTAACAGACGATATGCCAGTATTCATGGGTCTAATAGGTGATCTTTTTCCTGCCTTAGAAGTACCTCGCAAGAGGGATGTGGAATTTGAAAAAACAGTAAAACAAGCAGCAATAGATTTAACATTACAACCTGAAGATAATTTTATATTAAAAGTTGTACAGCTGGAAGAGCTGTTAGAAGTGAGGCATTCTGTATTCGTCGTTGGAAATGCTGGCACTGGAAAAACACAGGTGTGGAAGACTCTACTGAAAACATATCAAAACATACAGAAAAAGCCGATATTTAATGATTTAAATCCTAAAGCTGTTACAAACGATGAATTGTTTGGAATAATAAATCCCGCAACAAGAGAATGGAAAGATGGTTTATTTTCAGTCATAATGAGAGATCAGGTAATATGATAAGGTGAATTAATTAAAATTTATAGGAATGAATATCATATTTTAAAACACCATAAATAGCGGTCAGTAAATTGATAAAACTACAATCCAAGAATTTAAAGTTCTTGTCAATTTTGCAAATGCTGGAATAGAGTTCTAGTTTTAAATTATAGAATTTTGAATTCAACTACTTTGTTTGATTTTTGGACTTCCCGTAGGGCAAGTTATAGTAATCGCAAAAAAATCAAAAATGAAAATTTTGATATATCTTTACGTTTCAAAATCTTCCAAACATTTTGGCATACCTTAGAAAAAATGGATGTATGTGTGTGTGTGCATACACATTTTCGTCGACGATTTCGGGAACATGAATCAACCGGTTTGAATAATTCAAAAAACATTCGATTCGTATTGATAAGGAGACGTGCTGATTAGTTTTTGGCAAAGGCAGGTCTAGCCGTTCCGAAGATACGGGGCAAAACGTGCCAAAAACGGTAGCTCAGTTTTTAAGAGAACGGAGCGTCCGATTTGAATAATTCAAAAAACATTTTACTTGTATTGACAAGATGAAGAATTGATCATTTTTATGAAGGCAGGTCTAGCGTTTTCTAAGATCTAATGAAAAAAGTAAAAAAAAATGCCATCTGGTGGTTAAAAATGATCATTAGACATATGCACATCAAATTATCAGATATTTTATAGAGATTTTAACAATAAGTATGATTTTTTTTTACATTTCTATGGGTTCCGTACCAATGCTTATGCGTTAGACGGCGGCGTGGCACTTGCGCGCTTTGACATTTCGTCTCTATGCAGTTCAAGCAATACGATATCTTTGAAAAAAAAAGTTCAGAATTTCCAAAATATGTCAAAATGAAGAAAACATTTTTCTTTAAAAAAAATTTTGTTATCAAAAAAAAATTTTTTATAAAATAAGTAAATTTTTTTCAAAAATGCTAATTGTTTTTAAAAAAATAATTTTTGGTACGGGAAGTACCAGCAATTTGCCTTTAGGCACGATGCCTTAATTGCCTTAAGACAGAATTCCACTTACAGCTAGTTTCTAATAACAATTCCATTTGCAGGCTAATATTTCTGGCAATCAACCTAAATGGATAATTCTAGATGGTGACATTGACCCCATGTGGATTGAATCTTTAAATACTGTAATGGACGATAATAAAGTTTTGACTCTTGCCAGTAACGAGCGTATTGCCTTGACGCCTACGATGAGATTGCTCTTTGAAATTTCGAATCTACGAACTGCTACGCCGGCTACGGTTTCGCGTGCAGGAATACTTTATATAAACTCGCAGGATTTAGGCTGGAATCCGTAAGTGAATAGTAAACTATAAATTTATAGTAACTATAAGTTCATAACTGTAACTGCAGTTTGTGATATATGGTATATTATTTTATTATATATAATAATATCATTTATAAGCTAGTGTGGGACACAGTTTCAATTTGACTTTGAGCGACTATATTGTAAAAACAAAACCAATTATATCAAAACAAATAACATAAAATATATCAAGTAAAACTACTTGCTATTTCATCATTGTAAAAATGATTTACAATTTTTTCAAACATTTGTCACATGGCCTTTTTTACCCCACAGACGGGGGCCACAGGGCAAAAAGGTCTAATGTTTATATTCAATTATCAATTTTTTTTACAAAAAACAACTACATTAGTTACCAATGCATAATATAAAATTATTAGGTACATTTTTTGTACTACTGTATATATATAACCTTAATCTGGTATTTTGTCAAAAAGATCATTAGCTGGAATCATAAGTTGGAATGAATATTTATTTAACTTCTTCTGTACATTGCTTTTCAAACTTAATTTACTTTATTTACATTTTTATCTTTTATACTTTTGCCAGGGTAAAGGTTCAATTAGTCCTTATCCCACCCACGTGTAAGTTTTTATGAAGGCTATAAATAAACTGTTAAATTTAACTTAAAATTAATTATATAGCTTATAAAATAATTAAATAACGTATTATTAAACATTTTATTACGGTCTCGTAAACTAAACAACGGTGCTTACAAAAAAAGCTAACAACGAAACATAATACTTTTGTTATGGATTTTGAAATATTGTCTTTTATCTCCCGATAGTGTAAGAATTAAGGTGATGGCTAGTTATACATCTTTTTCCCTCAACTTTCAAATATTGTTGTTAAAAAATGCTTACCTTGACTTATTTTTAAGATATCGGTGGTGGACTTTTTTACCTGCAGATCTTTAAACCCTATACTTTATTATTTAGAGATGATTATATCTAGATGTTATTCGACTTTAAAATTTATTCTTGAAAAGTTAGCAGTCAATAGGTAGAAAATTATATAACAATATATAGTAAAATTTATTTATTCTGTACGTTTCTTCACAAGATATATGTCATCATTATTAATTTTATAATAATTACAAAACAAATAGAATGACAATATCCAAAGTATTTTCAACTCTTAAAAATAAGAACTATACCATTTCAAAGAAAACACAAAAAAATATAAAACATAAATATAAAGCTTTGAGAGTTTTTATTAAATTTATACATAAAAACATACAAATACACGTACAAACATACAAAATAGGTATATATCAAAATAATATAAATAAAAATAATGAATTTTATTAATGTCATAGTAAACAAGTAAGAAAGTTTCATGTATTATCGAGTCCTATAAATCCTTGATGTTTAGAACATTTGAACAAAATATTTTTTTGAACATTTTACAAATAGTTTTATTTTTTGTCAGTATATCAATCTTGTCACTCATAAATTAATTAAATGTACAATTTTATGATCAACCAATCATCCAAGGTTCTTGAAAACAAATGTCGTATAAAAATTTTTTGCCGAATCCTATCTTATACGACTTGATTTTAATGATTTTGAGCAATTTGAAACTTTACTGAAAATTCAATGTTTCAATCTTTTGTCTAATTAAAACTTTTAATGCTCTCTATATTTTCTACAATTTTGACCATTTTTTATGCAAAATTTTTCGCGCCATAGTTTTACTTATTTTAATTCAAATACCATACAGTATTTTTCTAATTCAAATCTGTATTTATTACAGGTACGTAACAAGTTGGGTAGAAAAACGCACAATCGCAGCCGAAAAATCTAACTTGGTGATACTTTTTGACAAATATATTCCATCGTGTTTAGAGAACATCCGCACCAGATTTAAGAAAATTACCCCGATCGCGGAAATGGCTCATATTCAGATGCTGTGTCATTTACTAGATTGTCTTTTGACAACTGAAAATACTCCAGTAAATTGCCCTAAGGAGTGGTACGAAGTATATTTTGTGTTTTCTTGTGTTTGGGCATTTGGTTCCGCTATGTTTCAGGACCAAACTATTGATCATCGTATCGAATTTACAAAGTGGTGGATAAATGAATTTAAATCAATTAAGTTTCCAACAGGAGGTACCGTTTTAGACTACTATGTGGACTCTGATACTAAACAATTTGTCAATTGGTCGGAGAAGGTTCCGAAATTTGAATTGGATTTAGAAATGCCTTTGCAGGTTAGATGAAAAATTTCTATTGTTATAATAATTTTTATTAACATAAATACTACACACATTTTTCTTTTAAATTTGTTAAAAATTTGTGTTTTTCTAAGTACCAAATTACATAAAATCAGGGTGTTAAATTGAAGGTCGCAAATCGGGTTGTCTTTTATGGTCTGCATGAGACCTGTTGTTCAGAGATATGACTTTTTTTATTATTATTGTTTTCTTCTTTATTATCGATAAATACAAAAAGACAAATTATTGTGGTTTAAATGATTATTTAGTAATATCATGCCAAATATAATTTGTGTAAACAAAAATCAATTTTAGAACTTACTAAACTTTTAATTATTGTGATTGTGTCTCACTTATGCCAAGGAATGATGCAGCTCTATTTTTTTAAGGAAAAAGCAAAGTTATAATTACTTCTATAAAATTTGAAATGAGTTTGACATTTTTATACGTGCTCAGTGAATATTATTTCCAGTTTGACTAATTTGAATTTGAGCAACTATATTGTGAAAACCAAATGAATTATATCACAACAAATAACACATATCAAACAAACAATACTAACTATGTTCAGAAAAACTCCCAGCTAAATCATCATTGTAAATATGTATTTTGTTTGCTGTTATTCAAAAATTTGACACCTGGCTCTTTTTGTCTCATAGGCCTAGGCGGTTCTTGTTCAGTAAAACTCTCAGCTGAATCATCATTGTAAAAATGTATTTTATTTGCTATTTCAAAAATTTGCCACTTTGACCTTTTTGCCCCATATTTCCCATTCATGTTTTGTAAAACTCCTATGTAAATAATCATTGTAAAAATGTACTTCATTTGCTGTTTTTAAAAAGTTTGTCACCTTGTCCTTTTTGCCCCATATTTTTTGTTTATGTTCAGTAAAATTCCCAGCTAAATTGTAAAAATGTATTTTATTTGCTGTTTTTCAAAAACCTTTTACCTGTTTTTTTTGCCTCAAAGGCGGGGTGAAATGGGACTGCCAGGGGACGAACAAATCCAGCCTCTTATTTCTAATTTTAGGGGATTTCTATGAAACAATAGCTATACAAAATATAAATTTAATGGGCCTATTTTTTGACAAAGATAGCAGTGTATATAACCTTAATCTTGTATTTCGACATAAATATCAGCAGAGTTAGAATAACTATTTATTTTATTGATTTCTTTTTAAAATGCTTCTATTTAACTCAATTTACTTTTTTATTTACTATTTCATAGTTTTTGCCAGGGTAAAGGTTCAGTTGGTCCTTCTTACCCCAACCACATGCTTGCTTTTACAGTGGTTATTTGCAAAAAAAAACGTTGAATATAACTTAAAAATAATAATACATCCTATATATAAATCTATTAAATAAATTGATGCCTCGTAAACTAAACCACAGTCCCCACAAACAAAAAAACTAACAATGAAAGTAAATACTTTTGTAATAGATTTTCAAACGTCGTAAGAATTGAGGTGATGGCTGGTTATGCATCTTTTTTTCTATACTTTCTGATATTGTTGTTAAAAAAATTCTGTCTTTACTTGTTTTTGGGATATCGGTAGTGGACCTTTATACCCGCGGACTTTTTCCCTAACTGTGCCCTAAATGTGTACTTCTAAATCAATTTCTGTTTAATATCAAGTTCAAATATTAGTAGGCAATACCTGTTTTTACCACTCTTATATGTATCCTATTCACAGATACTTAGAAACGTTTCTTCTTCCTCGACATGTAATTACCTATAATACATGTAATAATAATTTCAATTACTTCTTATAAAATGTTGTTTGCAACTAATAATAATTGAACTATTTATTATAATGAAACATTTAAATTTACAATGCAGGCCGCACTAGTGCATACAAGTGAATCCATCCGATTGCGCTATTTCCTGGACATCCTGATGGCTAAGCGCCATCCGGTAATGCTGGTTGGTACCGCAGGTTGCGGAAAGACAGTTTTAATCAGTGAAAAACTTTCATCACTTTCGGAAAATTTTGCTGTAGCAAATGTACCATTCAACTTCTACACTACATCGGAAATGCTTCAGAGAATTATGGAAAAACCCCTTGAAAAAAAAGCTGGAAGAAACTATGGTCCTCCAGGGAATAAAGTGCTTATATACTTTATTGATGACATGAACATGCCAGAGGTAAGGCAATTTTATATTGGTAGATTATATATATATATATATATATATATATATATATATATATGTATAGTGTATACCAGAAATGTCAAACATACCGCCCGCGGGCCGCATCCGTTCCATTAAAAGACAAACAATGTTTTTAAATCAATTTTTCATGAAAGTTTATACTGAAGAGAAGTTTATAAATTAGACTCCATAAAAATTTTAAGTAAATCGGTTCAATAGAAGTTGAAAAATCATAAAATTTCTAGAAAATCGCGTTTAAAGTTTCGAAGATAAAGAAAACATACGAAGATTATTGCAGACAAATAGCGAAATAACTCCAAAAATGATTTAGATTTTGAAAAATCCTCTTGCACATATATTTTTGAATAAATAAACCTTGAAAATATTAAAAAGGAAAAATCTATTTTCAAAAGCTTCTATATGAGAATGCTCTCTTGATGAATAATATATTCTATAAGTTACACTATTTGTTTCGAATTCAAGGATAAATTCCAAAAACATGTAATTTTCTAGATTCCAGTTCAATTTTAATTTAATAGTTAACGTGTTATGTACCTACCTACCTATATATATATATATATATATATATATATATATATATATACCGTTAATAGATATAATTTTATAATAATTCAGTTATTTTTATTTCCCCAAATGAAAACCACAAAAGGGAAAATATTTCGTCCACGTTTTAGCCAAAAATCTTGAACCCACTTTGATTGTTTGAAAACTGTTTGAAAGTTATTGGTTGGAAATCGTGCCGATTACTTTTTGTTAAAGATCGGCCAGGCCAATTCTTCGTAATAAAACACCAATAACTTCGTGATGATAGTAATTATGGTCTCAAAAAATATACTGAAATATTACTGTCAGACGACAAATGGTTTAATTATAAAAGTTCAAAATTCAAAATTTGTGTCAAAAGTCACTTTGGTAATCTGACGGATCAAAGTTTAACTTTCGTCGAAGTTTTGTCAAAAACGGCTGAACCGATTACAAAAATTTAAAATCCATTTGAGACCACTCGATATGGAGGAATTTTGATTAGGTACGCAAAAAAAATCGACAATGTCCTTACTTTGGAATTAGCAGAAACATGCAAACTTTTTCGTCCAGGTTTTCACAAAAAAAGCCTAAGTGATTTTGAAAAATGAAAAACCGTTCAGAAGATTTTGATGATTTAGTTACTTCAGGGGTTCTTCTAGTGCATAGGCATGAGTTCAAATATTAGAGGTCAGTTTGAATGATATCAATCATAAATCGCATTAAGTGAGGAAAATTTTATATTCGAAATAAGTAGTTGGAATTTTCATTTAAATAACTAATATCATCTAAATAATTAAAAACGGCGCATGGCATAGTGCATTAAGGCAAATTTCTGGAACTTTCCGAGCGGCTATTAAACATTCGAGGAATGAAAATAATCAATAATTGTTATGAAGATTTTCAAATAGATTATTTATTATAAATACTTACTGCAAATTTATAAGTGCTTTTTAAATTGGGCGATGATCGTATTTTATAATACGCTCAGAAATAGTAAAATGTTTTTTAGAATTATTAAAAGCGGACGCTCCGTTCTCTAAAAACCTAAATTACCGTTTTTGGCACTTATTGCCCCATATCTTTGCGACGGCTAGACATGCCTTCGCCAAAACGTTTTTTGAACGTTTTTTGAACGACGTCGATAAAAAGTTGTATTCGCACACATACACACACGCACACACACATACACACAAACAAACACACACATACATTTATTTTTGCTAATTAAGGTATGCTAAAATATTCAGAAACCTTTGAAATGTAAAGATATATAAACATTTTCATTTTCGATTTTTTTGCGATTACTATAACTTGTCATACGAGAATTATAATGGTATATGGTATGATGCCTCAAGGTAAATTGCTGGAACTTCAAAGTATAAAATGTTTTCAAATAAATTATTAAAAATTCAAAAGAAAGACATTCAAAAGAAATGTGTATTTATATTATTATATATATATATATATATATATATATATATATATATATATATATAAGAAACAAATTATACAATACACTTTAAAAAATTAGATAACTGGTAAATTGCATTTTAGATTGAGTCAACTACATTTTCGAATCTTTTTAAAGATGAATAATATATGCATTCGGTCTTTTCAGAATATGTTTTTGCATAAGCAATCATTGTTAACTTTTTGAACACTTTTGACAATTTGCCGAAAACGATTTGGTGCACTGGATTTTATAAATTTAGTTGTTTTACTGACGTACTTTGATGATGATTTTTTTCTTGTTTCAATTTTAAATTATAATAGTATGCTGCAAGCACAAAAACAAATGTGCTATCAAAATTTTAAGTATAAAAACCTCTCAATTTTTTTTTTCAAATTTATGGTTATAAAGACAGAGGAACAGAGTAAATGTAAGTATAAATCATTATTAGAATATTGTATTTTCACATAATGTATTTTAAAATTTAATTTTGTTTTTTTATTTTTTTTTTGAGTTTAAAATTTTATGCCTATTCCAAATGTCATTTATCTGCTGCAAAGTATATTTTTATTCGAAAAATAATATCTTTGATTTTAGTTTAATGGAAATACATTTAGTACCGTACTGTCATCTAATTTGACTTGATTTTCAAACGTTTTAATTTAGATAAAATATTTAGTGGACATTTTTTTTATTCATATGTTTTTAATTTATCCGATTTATCCAAAATATTTGTTAATTTATCCAATATCAATTTTCTAATGTAATTTTGCTATTGCATTATTTTATCAAATATCAATTATATTTATGAAATATATATTAAAAGTAATTTAAAAGTAGTGGTGCATGGCGTCGTCCTTAAGGCAAATTGCTGAAACTTTCCGTACCAAAAACTGAAGTTTTTAAAAAAACTTTTTTAGAAAATTCGAATTTTTTTGTTTAGATTTTTTTTGAAAATATTGAATGTTTTTTAAAGTAATTGCACCGTTGACATAGCTGTTTTAAAGTCGAAATATCAAAGCGAGTAAGCGCCTCGCCGAAGTCTAACACAAAATTTGTACTTATCATTATAATCTATATATAATATCTTATAATATGATGTGCATATGTCTAATGATCATTTTTGACAGCCAGATGGCATTATTTTTTACTTTTTTTATTAGAACTCCGGAATCACTGGACCTGCCTTCTCAAAAACTTCACCGGTTGTTCACTTTGTCAATAGAAGTAAAATGTCTTTTGAATTATTCATATCGGACGCTCCGTTCTCTCAAAAACTGAATTACGATTTTTGGCTCTTTTTGTCCCGTATCTTCAAAACGGTTATACCTGCCTTTGCCAAAATCTAATCAGCACGTTTCATTATCAATAGAAATCAAATGTTTTTGAATCATATCCCCAGCATACATACGCACACATACGCACACGCAAACACACCCATACACACATACATTAATTTTTTCTAAGGTATGCCAAAATGTTCAGAAACTTCTTAAACGTAAACTTATATATAAAAGTTTTTATTTTCGACTTTTTGCGATTACTATAACTTGCCCTACAGAAAGTTAATAATAAAATTTCGTTTTATTTCAAATTTTCATATTAAGTTATGATAATGAGATATAATAGAATTTGAAATAGTACTATCATATGCTACTCAACACTTTATTTTATTTTTTACGCAAAATTTAATACAAATTCTTTGACTTTTCAATTCTTCCATTGTAAAAATCGCCGAGCTCAGAAAAACACGTCGAACCTTAGCGACTACCACAGACAAAGTAAACAGTAAATATAGATGAAAATTTCATCATACTTTAGGGGCATGTATACCAACACAATAAAAAAAAAATTTTGACAATCAGACACTCCAGACCCGCGAAATTTAATTATTAGTAATTCCGGGTACTTTTTGAACACACCTCGTATAAACGTTCTTAAAAGTCAAAAATTATGACAACTCATAATACCCATAATATATATATATATATATATATATATATATTATTATTATTATATTATTATTATTATTGCAGAAGCGTGCAGCTAAAACTTCGGGAATTCATAAGCGTTACCGTCTATCGCCCTCATTGGCCAAACTAATTGGCAGCGACGAACCCGAAACACGCTACAACGTAGTCAAGCTAATATGGATACAAATCAAGGAGAGAAAACTCCAAGATCCTGAAGACCCAGCCTATATCGACTGTGATGCTGAATTTGAGGATGTGACTGGGATGGTACGCCTTAAAGGCTTTACTATTATGAAGTACCTCAACCACCACTTTTTAGAATAGATCAAACCAGTAACAGTTCAGTCTCATGAGAACACAGTTTATGCTCGTCACTGTTTAATATTTGGGACTTCAATTGGACCGTCGACTCTACATTTGTCTAAAGCGTAAACATCTTGAAGAAAAACTAAGACAACTATATTGGCTGCTGGGTCATAAACTTTCGTCGATGTCAAACAAAACCCGAATCTATGAATCAATTCTGAAACCCATCCGGACATATAGCATCCAGCTTTGTGGTACTGCCAACCAATCAAATATCGCGATTCTGCGGAAGTTTCTGGTTAATTTGTTTAAGGAAATCGCCGACGCATCAAAATGCACTCCCAACTGCCTTTTCCACGACGAACTGGGAGTTACTTTTATCAAGGAAGAGATTTCCGGACATAGTCATAAGTACCAAAACAGGCTCACCGCTCACTCAAATATCCTTGCAAGAAAGCTGGTAGAACATACACACCTCAGATGACTACACTGTTATGATAATTTATGTTGAGAAATTTATACATTGCTATTGATTAAATTTAACTTTCTGAAAGAGAAGTTCGTTTTTACAAAAAAAATCTGACTTGCTAATTTATTGTATTCTGTACGTTTTCGATTTTGAAAATAGTATGTTGTGTGCGCGTGTGAGAAAGCCGAATTTTATTTCTTTTTCCGTTTTCTCAAAAAGCGGCAGGCTTACTTGTCAATAAGAATCAAAT